GTACCAGCTTCTCTTTGTACCTCTGGTAGAATTCAGCTGTGAACCTGTCTGGTCCTGGACATTTTTTCTTGGTAGGCTATTAATTGCTGCCTCAATTTCAGACCTTGTTATTGGTCTATTCAGGGATTCAACTTATTCCTGGTTTAATCTTAGGAGGGTATAAGTGTCAAGGAAGTTATCCATTTCTTCTAGATTTACTGGTTTTTGCATAGAGGTAGTTGTAGTAATCTCTGATGGTGTATTTCTGTGGGATTGGTGGTCATATCCCCTTTATTATTTTTTGTTGCATCTATTCAATTCTTCTCTCTTTTCTTCTTTATTAGTCTGGCTAGCAGTGTATCTATTTTGTTGATCTTTTCAAAAAACAGCTCCTGGATTAATTGATTTTTTTGAAGGGTTTTTTTTTTTGTGTGTCTGTATCTCTTTCAGTTCTGCTCTGATCTTAGTTATTTCTTATCTTTTGCTAGCTTTTGAATTTGATCTTGATTCTCTAGTTCTTTTAATCGTGATGTTAGGGTGTCAATTTTATATCTTTCCTCACTTGTTTGGTGGGTATTTAGTGCTATAAATTTCCCTCTACACACTGCTTTAAATGTGTCCCAGAGACTCCGGTACATTGTTTGTTTGTTCTAATTGGTTTCAAAGAACATCTTTATTTCTGCCTTCATTTAATTATTTATCCAGTAGTCATTCAGGAGCAGGTTGTACAGTTTCCATGTAGTTGTGTGATTTTGAGTGAGTTTCTTAATCCTGAGTTCTAATTTGATTGCACTGTGGTCTGAGAGACTGTTTGTTATGATTTCCATTCTTTTACATTTGCTGAGAGGTGTTTTACTTCCAATTATGTGGTCAGTTTTACAGTAAGTGTAATATGGTGCTGAGAAGAAAGTATTGGGTGGAGAGTTCTGTAGATGTCTATTAGGTCCCCTTGGTCCAGGGCTGAGTTCAACTCCTGTATATCATTGTTAATTTTCTGTCTTGTTTGTCTAATCATTTAGGTCTTAAATCAAATTTTACTCTCAGGCAGGCCTCCTGTCCACTCATTCTACCAGAGCAGTCTTCTGCTTCTGATCACTATCATTATCACCCTTATACTGGTGCTTTGAAGGACCCACCCAAGGTCAGGCACCAGCTGCAGCTGCAGTGCCATATGAGTGGGTTCCCCGAGCCCAAACCCGGATGCTCACGGACTCCAGGCCCATTTCAATCCTTCAGGTTATTTTCCAACCCTCTGTTTCCCACATGGGGTCAACCAGATACCCAAAGAAACTCCCATACTTGTGCCTCTGAGATTTTCCAGTGATTCCATGTTCAGCCCTCATTTCAGGAGGGCAGCCTGGCTAGCAGGTTCTGCGGCCAACTAGCAAAATAATTCTGTCGTGGGGACGTGCAAGATCGAGTAGCCAGAATGGTTCAGCTACATTGGTTTGTTATGTAAACATAGGTCCCTCGTACCCTAGGAGTGTCGCTGCTCCTTCACAGCACTTAGACAGTCTAAAAGCACGCTGTTCATGAGTTCATTTGCTTACCTCTGAGTACTTCCCCAGAACCAGTAGGATGTAAGTTCTGTGAAGAGGTTGACCTTAGCTATCTTGATTATCATTGGACGTTCAATTACAAATCAGTTCCCAGCAGAGAAAGTATTCAATAAATACATATTGAAGAGATAAATGAATTATTGCATGAAATAATGTATTTAATTACAGACCTCTCTTCTCCTCTAGACTGTAAGCTCTCAAGACAAAGGATTCTGTTTTATACATCTTGCTCCTCATGCTGGCATACTGCCTGCCATATGAGAAAGCATGAAATCAGTATCTTTGAACACATAAAAAATAAATAAATGAACAAACAGATCAACGAGTGAATGAATGAACATATGCTATCTACATTAGAAGTTCTTAATTTTGTCTTCACATTAAAATCATTGGGGAACTTTTAAAAACTGCAGTGCCCAGGACCAGTGAAACTGGAATCTGGGGGGATGTGCCCCAGGCATCAGTATATTTTAAAGCTCTTAAAGCAATTCCAAGTGCACAGCCATAGTTGAGAATAGGGTGACCCACCACCAGGTTTATTCAGGATTGACACATCTCTCAGAGAGCAGGAATTTAAATGCTAAAACTGTGACAACACTGGGCAAGCCCAGATGGCTGGTCACCCTCCCTGAGAACCACCAATCCAAACTGTCACCCATGGCCATGCTTGAGTGATGTATTTTCAATTTTTGAAAAGTCAAGACTTGTTGGTTTCCTGCTTTCATTTGACACTTACCTAATTACATTCAGGCCTGTGGCTCACTTTGACCTCATAACTGCTTCCTGCTATAGGCTGTTGTTCAGGTTCGTGCTGCTGTTATTGACTTGGGTGACATACTAATTTGTAACACACAAATGCCAAAGGGGAAGATTAAACCATTCCAGCAAGTCAGCATCAATCAATAGACCAGCTAAAGAAGCAAAGGAACATGTAAAGTGTTACCTTTCCAAATGCAGTCACAGTGAGCCTTCACTTCTTTTCCTCTCCAAATTGATGGCAGTACATTTTGACACATTTCTACATATCGCTTGTATGTGCCAGTTTACTTTGGTATGATTGCGTAGTCCCTGTTGTTACCTGAGGAGATAAATAATTTTTAATGGGAAAGTCCATGTGAAAGCTGAAATAATATTTATCATTCTAAACACTGATGAAAAAACCACCAGGTATGTGGTTGATAATAAAAGCTCATCAATGTGTGGACACCAGAATCAGAAATGCTCTTCAACCTATGAAGAAGGTAACAGAGCACCACGGATCTTGAGGGCCTTGTTGTTCGAAGTGTGGCCCCAGATCAGCAGCAGCAGTCTCACCTGGGAGCAATTAGAAGGGGGGGACTGAGGCCCCACCCCAGAGCTACTGAATTAGAAGGCCTGCAGCTGAGACGCAGGAACCTGTGTCTTAAAAAGTTCTCCGAGTTGTATTTATGCATGCTAAAATTTGAGAAGTGTTAACTTGGCAAGCATTTTTTGCCTACTTTGTAATGTCAGTATCTCGGAGCCCAGAGGGAAGAGGTGAGGGTAAGCAGGAAAGGAGGCACACAGCACAGTAGTTCCCAGCCTTTCCTGCACATTGGAAGCTTTAAAAAATATCCACACCTGGATCCCATCCCAAGCAGCATGATTGAATTGGTATGGGATGCTCCCTGAGCAAAGCTCCCCAAGTGATCCTAATGTGCAGCAAAGTTTAGGAATCATTGATGTGATTTAACCACAAGGAACCCTAACCTCCTCACTGTCTCTGGCCTTGACTGCTGGTGAACCCAGAGGAACAAACAGCGTATACATTTGCTATCCTTCTTTCCCAAACAACAGAAGCAGCAGCGATGAAGAAGAATTCTCTGGATCTGACTCTGACCTCTGGTTTGGTGAATATGTGTTCCATTTAGCCTCTGTTAATAGCTGATTTATCTTTAACTGTTCAACCCTCCTGGATCTCAGTAGTCCCATGTGTTTCAATGGGGACTATAAGACTCCGTTCCCAGATTAATTGGGACATTACATATGACATGTGGAAGTGCCTAATACTTAGCCCAGCACATGTTGGATGTTTAGAAACTCTGAGCCAAGGAAGGTTGTCTCTCTAGCCTTCTCCCCAATTGTGGGATATCCAGCAGCATGAAGATGGGCAAATATTTAGCGGTGTCTCTTCCTCACTGCACCAAGGGTGTTCATGAACTGTCAAAAACCTCTTTACACAAACACTCTCAGTCTCACATCTCAGCCACGTAAACCGGTTAAAATATTTTGCAGATGTTCAACAGTGACTGAGAAGAGTCCACACAGCCACAGGGACTCTCACTGGGGCCCCCTGCCTAGAGCCCAGTGTTCCTCTCCCTACTACACTGCCTCCATTTCCAGCTTTCCCTCCAGCTGCATGGCAGTTTGCATCTGCAGATAGGATGCATTCACCTAGACCAGCTGGGGGCCAATAGAACTTCTGTGGTGATAGAAACGTTCTGCATCTGTGCTTTCCAGTTCAGTAGTCACTAGCCACATGAAACTATTAAGTTCTTAAAATGTGTGTAGTGTGAAAGGAAATTATAACTTTTTTATTTAATTTTAATTAATTTAAACTTAGCCACCACATAGCTCTAGAGACAGAATCTGGAGAAAAAATGAGAACCTGGGAAATAGTTCCAATGGTTTCTACCCACAAATTAAAGTAAACCTAAACCACTGGTTTGCCTCTCTGTTAAGAGGCCTTCCTCTTTTTCAGGAAAGTGGCAAGTTGGTGCACTAGTTGATGAGAGCACCCTCCGCATGCAAAATACTATTCAAGTGATGCCTTGAAACCCATGATTGGCCAGCAGAAGCAAAATGTGTCATAGAGCACAGCTTCTCAAACTTGAGTGTGCACACAAGTCATGTTCGGGATCTTGTGAAAATACAGAATCTGGTTTAGTAGGTCTGGGACAGGGCCTGAGGTCTGCATTTCTAACCAGGGCCTGAAGAGGGGGCGGCGCTGCTGCAGCTGCCCTGTGAACCGCACTTTGCCTAGCCAGGCAAAGAGCAGTGCTGCTCACCGGGCCAGTTTGACCTCCCTTCACACGTAGGGGCATTTGGCAACGTCTGGAGACATTTTCGAGTATGTCTGGGAGGATGGGGCTGAGAAGTGTTATTGACATCTACTGGGTTAAGTCCAGGTGTGCTATTAATCATCTGCAATGAACCTGCATGCATATATCAAAATATCACATGCATAAATATGTACAATTATTATATATCAAAAAAGCATGGCGTTTCAAATATATTTTTAAAACTTTTTTTTTTAATGTAATAATCTATAATACACTGGTTAGCCCTGAGACAAGGAGTTATCTTACCCAAAATGTCAGTAATACCGTGGGCTCTTCAGGAAGAGGAGTATTCATGGCAGAGGGATGGAGCGGTTGCTCTCAGTGTGATAACTGATCAATGTTTTCTTTCTTCCACTCTTTTTTCCCACTTGTCTACGCACAGGAGCCAATGCCTCGGCCCCAGACCAACTGAGCTTAGCGTTAGCCTGGAACAGAGTCGACATCGCTCGCAGCCAGATCTTTATTTATGGGCAACAGTGGCCGGTAGAGTATATGTCGTCACCCGTGAAAAGCCCACTTTGGTTGGGCAAGGGTATTTCTTTAAGGAGCCTCGAGATGGAACATGTTCTTTAAGATGGAACATGTTCCTTGGTAGCAAAATCCCTGTCCTAATCCCTTTCTCATATTCGGGAAAGCACTGCCACCTAGTGGAAATTTCAACCAAACACAACTCCAAATATTTCCATCTCTATGAGTGGCCGTTAATAGCAATTTTCAGCTGCAAATAATGCCTTTTACTTTAATAAGTCTGAACAAAATATAAGACAAAGCTGTATTTATTAAAATTAAGGAAGGGGTAGAATTTTTAATTTGCTTCTGATTGTCTCTGATGGGACAAAGGGAAGAGTTTGCTGCCCAAGCCATGGCAGCCCCCACTGGTTTATGGCTGGGTCACACCTCAGGATGCAGAATTAGCAGGCTTCCCTGTGCAGGCGCCATCTGGTCCTGGTGGCTGAGCACAGGTCCTCCTTATTTGCAAAGAACAACACAAGGAAACCAGTGCTTTATATAACTGTTCTTGGTTTGCTTCCCTCCATTGACTATACCAAAAATAAAAATGTGTGAGATTGGCCATCAGGTGGTATATTCATGCATCCACAAGAGGTAACCCAGCAGCCTGAAACTTGATTTCTGTGCCTGTAATCACAGCACTCACAGGAAGGCCTTATCTTATGTTTTCCTTTCCCCCAGAGAGTTTCTGCCTGGGATTGACCCCCTGTCTTCATTCAGTGCTGCTGGATTGCTAACATGGAAAGATTTGCCAGAGTCTAGACCCTGGGACATGTCTGTGAAATGCATTAAATAAAACTTTAAGCCACTGGCAAATCCAGAAAGTAGGCTGGGTTTTTTTGTTTTTTGTTTCTTCAGTTAAGTGACATCTTTGTGGTCTTGCTCACTTCTCCACAGAGACACAGCGGTGAGTTAGGTCCTTTGATCTGTTGACTCGGGTCCCTCTTCTCAGTCGGCCTGGTGTCTCACTCAGAGCCCAGGGGTAACAAAAATGAAAACAGCAAAGTACCCACTTTTTGACACTTCGCTGGGTGTTGAGAAGGTTGATTGGATAATTGCAAGGGGAAAAACCTTGTGAACCCTTGTACCTCCTTGGGATCCACAACAAGAGATTCAGGGAAGAAATAGTTTTTGGAACTAGAAATCCTTGACTTCTGCTTGCAAAGACAGGCCCCCAAACATGGGAGAGGTTGTGGCTGTCCCAAAAGTAAATCTGTGAAGAGTCTTGCTAGCATGTTCTTAGATGTGCTGAAGGTCTACCAGATGTCACAGGCATCCCTTTCTAAGCTGTTCAAGCGAACACCAAAGAACCGCATCCCTAGATAGACCCTGGGGCAGACTAACTCAGCAACTTGATTTGCAGGTGGGATCTCTGGAGCAAGCCATGTTGGATGCCTTAGTTCTGGACAGAGTGGATTTTGTGAAATTACTCATAGAGAATGGAGTAAGCATGCACCGTTTTCTCACCATCTCCAGACTAGAAGAATTGTACAATACGGTAGGGCCAAACTAAGGCACTCTTTATTTTTTTGTTTGTTTTACCTTCTCCTGCCCTCCATATGCCTGTGACTCTCCTCCCTTCTCCCCTCCAAATGCATGAATCGTTCATCACAAATACTCCCTACATAAATGACAAACACCAAGTCACCAAGATTCCACTTGTTTTAATTGCTCAGTTGTCAGCATCTAAGGCAAGAAGTTACGTGGTAGCCTAAGTGTATCGCTCTCATGTTCTTATACAAAGTTACAAAGCTCTGGAAATGAGAACACAGTTTGTTCTGTAAACCCAGAGGGTGTTAGAGGCAATTAGCAAGGGAGGATTGATTTAACTCTAAGCATCAAAAAAGGCCTATTAAGTGTCCTGCACCATTTTGTTTTCCTCAGAGCTGTGAAGTTCATTCTTCACAGTTCAGCTATAAAGTGGCATAAAAGGTAAAATACCTTTTCTGGAGTTACTTAAACATTGTGATTAGTTAACTTACTAGGGATACCCAGGAGTAATCATAGGTCAAACTACTATTCATGAAGTTATTGAGAGAATTCACACGAGTTAAGTGCGTTGGCTCTGAGCTGATGCACTTCACTAGAATCCAGCAAAGTTTAAAGAGCACATATTTTCCCATTTGACAAATGAGAAGAATGAGGCTGTCTCAGTCCATTTGTGGTACTATAACAAGATACCTGAGACTCAGTGATTTATAAACAACAGAAACTTATTTCTCTGGGTTCTGGAGGCTGGGAAGTCTAAGATCAAGTTTGGTGTCTGGAGAAGGCTGCATTTTGCTTCTTCCACAGTGGCACCTTGTTGTTGCATTCCCCAGAAGGAACAAATGCTGTGTCCTTACAAGGCAGAAGAGACGGAGGGCAGGAGGGCTGAATGTTGTCTGAAGCTTCTCTTATAATGGCCTTAGTCCCCCTCACAAAGGAGGAGCCCTCATCACCTAATCACCTCCTAAAGGCCACACTTTTTTTTTTTAATTATTATTATGCTTTAAGTTCTGGGATACATGTGCAAAACATGCAGGTTTATTACCTAGGTATACACGTTTAAGGCCCCTCTTCTTAATACTAGTGCCTTCGAAATTAAGTTTCAACATGAATTTTGGAGAGGACACAAACATCCAAACCATAGCAGAGGCCAAAGTGAATTCAGTCACAGGACTCCTAAGAAAGAAGCCAGTAAGCGTTGAACCCAAGCTTCTGTCTCTGAGATTATTCTACCCCTCATTTTCAGTGTCTCTGTCCCGCCACACAGAGGGCAAGCAGGATGGAGCTTACTTCCTATGCCCAGCCAGGAGTAGTTGTTAGGTGGTACCACCCTGGCACTGGCTGCAAAAAGTAGAAACAGGTTAGCAGAATGGCCCCGGGTTTCTGTTTTTCCACAGACTTTTCTTGGTTCAGCATAATGAGACTTTCAGTAAGAATAATGGGTTTCAATTTAAAAAATAAAAATAACGACAAGAGTTGAATGGCCTATCAATTAGAGAATCAAGGGAGTAGAGTGATTTATTCCAACAATTGGGGAGAAAAAAAAGTTGGAGAATTCTAGACTGAGAAAGGCCAGTAAGTTTGATCAGTTCCGTCTGCCAGTGGTGGCTTCCTGGAATACTTCGCTGTGGATTACGGAACAGTAAATAGCCTCCGTAGTAATAGCTGACACTGATTGGCACCAAGCACAATTTGTAATGGCTTTATAGACATTATATCACTTAATCCTCACAACAACCGCATCAGATAAAGTGATACTATGATCTCCATTTTAAAGATGATAAACTGAGTCACAGTTAAGGAGCTTGCGCATGTTCAGAGCCAGTAAGCAGCAGAGGTAGGGAGCCAGACACTCTGACTCCAGAGTCTGTAGGTTGAATCACTGCACAATCCAGCACCCCCTCAGTGGAAAAAGAGCTCTGATAGGCATGTCCACGTGAATGGGCAGGTTGCTGCAGCAGTTCATAGACCTGTCTCTATACCTGAATGGTTGCAACAGTGCTTAAGAATTTGCCATTGGCCAGGCACAGTGGCTCATGCCTGTAATCCCAGCACTTTGGGAGGCTGAGGTGGATGGATCACCTGAGGTCAGGAGTTTGAGACTGGCCTGGCCAACATAGTGAAACCCCCATCTCTACTAAAACACAAAATTTAGCTGGGCATGGTGGTACACACCGGTAATCCCAGCTTCTCTGGAGGCTAAGACAAGAGAATTGCTTGAACTCTGGAGGTAGAGGTTGCAGTGTGCTGAGATCACACCACTGCACTGCAGCCTGGGTGACAGAGAGAGACTCTGTCTCAAAAAAAAAAAAAATTGCCATAACTATTTTAGATTCTCTAATCATCTCACCAGATTTAGAAAATAAAATACAGGATGCAAGGTTAAATGTGAATTTCAGATTAACAACAAACAGTTTTGTTATATCTCAAAGATTGCCTGGGATATTAAAATTATACATTATTTATCTGAAATTCAAATTTAATTGGGCTTCTTGGATTTTATCTAACATTTCTATTCCTAAAAGACCATAGAACGGCAACTCATTTCATTTTATATTTACCTCAAACAAACATCCATCTTTTCTACAAAACTTTTTTTTCCCAGTCTGTGGCTTTTTCTTTAAATCGAATTACAATGAACTGTCACCCAAATTCAGCCTGCTGCCTGTCTCTGTATGGGCTGCAAGCTAAATTTTTTTTTTTTTTTTTGCATTTTAAAGAGCTGAAACAATCAAAAGAAAAATGCCTTTCTATGACACATTTTCTGTGCCCATAATGAAAATTTCCTTGAATCATAACCAAGTTCATTTGTTACATGTGATCTACGGCTACTTGCACATTACAACAGCAGAGTTGAAGAGTTTCAGCAAAGACTATGTGGTCCACAAAGTCTACAGTATTTACTCTCAGGCCTTTCACAGAAGAGGGGCCAACCCCCTTCTTAGACAAGTGCTCATTCATGATGGGTAATAAAAAGTTGTGATGGCAACGTGCCCAAATGTATTTCCAATGCAGCCAATGGGTACCTTTGTTCTCCCACCCTCATCCTGGCCCCTGGCTGCAAAACTAGCTTCTTCCATCATATTTTGTCAACAGAGTTGACAACCTCCCTTAAAAAGTTGGAACCTAGAACCGCAAATACATTTTCTTAGGAAATGCAATTCAAAATCTGCCAACATGTTTGTTTAGAATAAACAGATATGGCCTTGAGGTGGCTTTTGTCTGTAATCCCAGCACTTTGGGAGGCTGAAGTAGGAGGATTGCTCGAGGCCAGAAATTCAAGAGGAGTCTGGACAACATAGTGAGAACCCATCTCTAAAACAAAAATTTTATATAAAACATTAGGCAGTCATGGTGTTGTGTATTTGTAGTCCTAGCTACTCGGGAGGCTAAGGTAAGAGGATCACTTGAGCCCAGGAGTTCGAGGCTGCAGTGAGCTGTGATTATGCCATTGCACTCCATCCTGGGAAACAGAAGACCCTGTCTCAATTAAAAAATAAAACCAAATCACTGACAAAGCTTTTCATCTCCAAATGGGGACAATTTAAAAGAAAGAAAAGACAGGTACACTGAGCAACTAGAACAAGGTTCATCTTAACAAACTGCCCTCCACCAGCCAGAGCCCTTCCTTCCAGATCCTTCTTGCCTTGCCAACATGAGCCCCTGACTAGCAAAACTGTTTGATTCTTCTTTATTGTTTTCAGAGACATGGGCCCTCAAATACATTGTACCACTTGGTCAGGGATGTGAAAAAGGTAAGAACCCTCTCGACTGCAGGTCAGAGGCCCTGTCTTGACCGCTTCCTGTGATTAGAGAGTGCCTCCGTTTTGCATGAGCTGCCAGAATATTCCTGTCCCTGTCAGGCGCTCATTTCAGAACTCTGTGTGGGTGTGTGTGTGTGTGTGTGTGTGTGTGTGTGTGTGTGTATCTCTTTTAACTGATGCTTCTGCTCATGATGCAGCTGTGGTGTTATTTACAATCGCCGTGCTTTTAGATGCTTTCATTGGACGTAATGCTTTTGGGTAGTGGAACTCTCGGCTTTCCGCGTGCCAAGTGGATTTATGCCATTACCTGTATCTTTCCACATGCCCCTCACTGTTTGGGGAGCTGGTTTCCATGCTTCCTGACTGACTACAAGAGTACATCTTCACTCACCAGCTCCTGATACAATGACACATCTAGCATTACACAGAGTGTAGTAAGTAAGCATAGCTCCAAATTTTCTAAAAACAGAGACAAAATCATAAATATGCACTCCATTCTTTGAACATTCTGTTTTTTTCCAGAATATTTTTTCATATTTGTCATCTCATTGGATGGAGGAAAAAATTGGTAGGTATGGATCAGGTAGAATTATTTTCATTTTATAGATGAGGAAGCTGAACTGAAAGGAGACAAGAACTGATTTGGTGGTTGGTAGTTAGTGAAGAGCTAATTTTAAAGCTTAGTTCCTTTGACTAATAATGGTAAGATAATAATAATAATCATGAGCTAGTGATGACTAAGTACACAGCAATGCTGACACTTTCAGTGCATTTTAACTCATTTAATCTTTACAAAAATTCTATGAAATAGAATTATTATTTTATTCGTATAGGCTGGGCACAGTGGTTCGTGCCTATAATCCCAGCACTTTGGGAGGGCTAGATGGGTAGATCACCTAATGTCATAGTTCAAGACCAGCCTGGTCAACATGGTGAAACCCTGTCTCTACTGAAAATACAAAAATTAGCCAGGCATGGTAGTGTGTACCTGTAATCCCTGCTACTTGTGAGGCTGAGGCAGGAGAATTGCTTAAACCTGGGAGGCAGAGGCTGCAGTGAGCCAAGATCATACAACTGCACTCCAGCCTGGGCAACAGAGTGAGACTCCATCTCAAAAAAAAAAGAATTATTATTTTTTTGTTATAATACGGTTTTGTTCCCATTTAAAGACAAGAAGAATGAGATATAGGGAGATTCTCTTTACTCTTAGCCAAGTGCTTTTTCTTTTGCCCCATATTATCTTTTTCAGACGTAGCTTGAGGTCTGAACACTTAAATCCATCCCAGAAACTGACATTTTAATTCCAAAAGATAAAACAGAAGGTGGCACTGCCCCCACCCCACACATAGGTGTGCCCATACACACATGCACACATATGCCCAATATCACCACTTGGTAACAATTCTTCACCAAAGTCCACAGGACATATTCAGAGGAAGCCACAAAGTGAAGTCAAAATACAATCTGATTCCTTCATCTCACAGGAAGTGGCTAGAATTGCCCTTAGGCGTTCTGCAACTAATTTCTTCTCTTTCCTTCGAAAGGCCGAGCAAAGGCCCTGGGGCTACTTATAATGAATGTTCCTGTTCACCTGCTGGACATTTGCTAAGAATGAGTAAAGGATATAAAAATAACACAAAAATGTGTACCTATGCAACTATCTTGCATGTTCTGCGCATGTACCCCAAAACCTAAAATGCAATAAAAAAATAACACACAGAAACAAAATCTCCTTCCTTTGACCCTTGCAAACTTTCCTCCCATCTCTACACCACTTTAATGAAGGATTTTTCATCTGCTTGAGTGGCTAAGCCTGTAGTTCTTTCGAAACAAGAGGGAAAGAGGCTGTGCACTCTGTACTCACAATTCAACAACCACTTTCCTAAGATCAGATCCTTCACTGGTCTACGCATTCCAGGCCATAGCAGTAGATCTGCCTTCAACAAACCTATTTCTCTTTCCTCGAAGCTTCCAGTTTTGTCTTATTCATCCTGGCTTAAAATTGCCTGAAAACTAAACTCAAAAGATTAGAAGTAGACACATTGGATGTGTATTCAGCAAGATAGTTGTTGGTCATGTTCAAACAAATGCTTTGAGTTTTTCTAAAATAATGAATTGGGGTGTTCTCTCCTTCACTTTAAGTTAATCTCCAACCCTGAAGGAATTGCGAATCTTTCTAAATAGACAGCTATGCCTTTGTCCCTCAATCTCAGTCATCGTCAACCCAACCCTTTAAAAAAAAATGGCACTCATCCAATTCAGTGACCCAGTCTTCCAGCAATAATGTCTAGTTTTCAAAGGGATTTTTGCAGTTAGATTTCACTGTGTATAAATGATCAAAATCCTTCTCATTACTTTCTTTTCTCCATAGGACTCTGCTTTTTCTGAAATCCCTCAAGTTGCCTTTTGCATTTGCTTATGTCACTTGTATTATTAGAAGTCATGTAAATTATCTCCAAGGTGGGGTTTTTTGGGGGGTAGCTTCTCAGCTAAAGAGGTACCTCAAAAATATAGACTAACAAGAAAGAACAGGATGGCAAGAATTTGGGAAGAAGAAACATTAAAAGCAGCTTTTTTCCTTTTAAGTATGACCCAAATATTAGAGCAAGAAAATCATTATATAAGCATGCATTTACCATTTACTTACAAATTTAGTAACTGGAAAAAATAATAACAAATGACCAAAAATAGTATTGAACTGGCCTAGAAATAATTTATCCTTTTACCTGGAAAAAGAGACTGCCAATAAGACAGGAAACAACAGAAAGCCAATTTTTAATTTCTTCCCTTAGGAATAAGTAGGAGCAGGAAATGCAGAATCCATTATTTCCGTGACCAAGGTGAGTAACCAACTCTGGGAGAGCAAGGAAGATGAACAGTGTGAGATTCAGAAAATAAGAAAAAAAAAGAAAGATGAACAGCAGTAGTCACAGGAGTCGCAGTGCCTGCATTTTATATTATATGGATTAAGGGAGTTGAAAATGAAGGTTTTTGTTCATTTTGTGTTTGGAGAAGAAGTGAATAAGGAAGAAATTAACATTGGTGCACAACTTTCTCAGGTGATTTTCAGGTGGTTTCAAGTGACTTCCAGCAATTTAGGCCAATAAGATAATCAAAGGCTACAAAACTAGGGTTAAAATGCTAAGAAAATCTTGGGAACTTAAAGCAATTTTCGAAATTAATGAACATAATTATAATTAACGTGCTTTCTTCTTTACAATTATAGGGGGAAAATATATGTGTGCATGTATATTTAATCTGGAGAAAGTAATGAATAAGTTACCAATTCTGATAACAAAACGCTATTCATGAATTAGGAACACAGTCCTAGACATTAAGCATAGTATTTGATAATACATCCATCAAATTATATGTAACTCTTAAGAACCAAATGCATGCATTGAGGAATTATCGAACCATCATAAGTCAATCAGCATGACATCTTCAGTTCACCTCTGTTTTGAGACCAACGGAACTGAATGTGGGGAATTGTTCCCAAGTTGGTTTTGAAATCTCAAATTATTTATATCAAGGGAACAATATAGGAGCAATGAGGTAAAAAGAGTGGCTCTTCATCATTAATCAGAAATTTAAATTGTTTTAAACCAACCCAGTTCTCTGAACTATTTTCATGCATAAATCCATTGAATGTACCAGTGCTCTCATATTAAACCAGAGTGGCCCAAGTCTGTCTGCTTATCTGTTGAATATAACCTGCCATTTTAGTAGCTGTCTGCTCAATTTGTGCCTCTGTATGTTTTAAAGTAGTTTTTTCCCTTTCTTAAATGTGCTAATATTTCAAATTAACCTATACTATCCTTCCCCCCACAAAGGAGGATGCTATTTGGGTATTATATAGAAGTAGTGGTGAAATTATGATAATTTAGAGTTCATTTACATGGGAATTAAGACCCAGAGCTTTGAAGAATGAAAAAAAAATTTTTTTTCAGACACACTTTGGGTAAGGAAAGGGCATTTGCATAATCCCATTTGCTAAATGCATGCAAATTTGCAAAAGCATTATTATATTTCAGAGGATTGGTTGCCCGAGATATTACCATGTTAATGGGCTGCACATCGGGGTGATGTCCTCTTATCCCCTGAGCTTTCACCAGATGAAGCCCCTCCCTGGTGTTTACTCACACCAACTGCAGCCCACTTTCCTTTATTATACAAGTTGTCCCAGGGTTGTCTTTTCTTCACACTCTCTTGGTAAGCTGACAACCAGCAATCATTTTATACCTTACGTATGTCAGAAGGAAACTGTCTTGCTTTGAAGGCTTGTTAAGAGTTTCAAAGGAAAAAAACTCCCTGAACAGTTGAGATCTGATAGTGACATCATGAGCTGACATCTGAAAAACACCATTCATTTTGAAAAACAGATCTAATAAGTGAATTTAAACTATTTTTTTAATTAAAAGGTTTTCTTATGCTCTTGCATGAAGTAAACCTGAGGTTAGTAGTTCATAGCATGAAAAAGGAAGACAGCATTTTCAAGTTGTCAAATTGTACGTAAGGAACATCTGCCCATAGACACAAGCCTGTCTAGCAAATTATTTGAATCACATGGGCTCCCATTGTTAAGGCATGAAATGGGAAATAATAGTTTGGGTTTTACCCATTACCAAAGTCCTTACTGAAGTGGGAGGGGGAGGTGCTAGAACAGAAACAGCAGGCAGAATGATTGTTCCTCCAGTATCCTTTTTGACTTCTAATTTGAAAAGGACCCAAGCAAAGGAAGACTCCTCCAGAAAGTGTTTGGACATTCCCTGTTGGCGTGTGAGGTACTGCTCACCTTCTCTGCTTTTTCCAGAGGAGCTGGATGCACTGAGCCCCACCTCATCCCCATCTGTCCTTTTACCATCCCTTGTCTCCAAGCCTCTGGTTCCACTAACCAAACTCCAGGGGATCACTGGAAGCTATATCACCCTTGGAAGCTCTGAACAGAGTCTTTGGCCAATGGGCCAAAAAAAATAAGAGCAGCCTGCCAAGTAGTGATCATACAGTTGGATTTTTAGAAATAGACAGGACCTTAAAAGTTGCTGTATCCAAGCCACCTATTTTCATAGCACAAACTGAGGTACAGAGAGGGAAAGTGATCTGGCCAGGGTCACATGGGGTCAGGGCCATGGCCCATCCCAGGACTGTTTCCTCCATGGGGTCATGTTGAAGGTTGCTCTCTGAGTGGGTATCGGTAAGGTCCCCTCTGCCCAGCAATACCTGTCCAAGAGAAGCAATGCAAATGCATCATCTGCAACGTCTGCAGGTCCCAATGGTCATGGCCATCTGCCCAGCACTGTGTCATGCACAGAGGCTCCCATCCCCTTCAGAGTCCATGCAGACACTTATTCCAAGAGGCCTAAATTGTACCCAATTTTAATCCATGTTATAAAATCTATTTCTTCTTCCCCAGAAGGTTTCCACTCTTCCTAGTAAAAGTAATTCCCTAACTTCTTGGCTTCCTAAAATCTCTATGAAGAAATAGCTGCAATTCAGCCTTTCAGACTGAATTCAAACACATTACTTATTAAAGTAAATTTTCACTCCTCCAGATACCACTTCCAGGAGAGCATCTGACTCACTCCTTAGCCCCCAATCCTTCATCCACTCTTGATTTGTTTATATGGCCTTATGGTATATACAAAACAGAAGATGGCCTGTAATCCCAACACTATGGGAGGCCGAGACAGGGGATCACCTGAGGTCAGGAATTCCAGACTAGCCCGGCTAACATGGTGAAACCCCCTCTCCTAAAAATCCAAAAAAATTAGCCGGGCATGATGGCACATGCCTGTAATCCCAGCTACTTGGGAGGCTGAAGCAGGAGAATGATGGCCTAGGTTACAGTGACCCAAAGTGGCGTCACTGCACTCCAGCTCGGGCGATGAGAGCAAAACTCCGGCTCAAAAAAAAAGAAAAGAAAGGCAGGAAAATGTTGCAGAGCGAGAATCCTCATTGTCTTCTGTTAGGTGAATATCGCCCCCTTGTGGTCAAATGAATGCAGGACTCTCAATGGTCACGGAATCCTTTCTCCTCCTTCAGGGCCGACCACACATAAATCATTCTGAAAGAATCAAGCTTTATCTGAGAAGATCCCAGCACCTCCTTGGCAGTATATGCCCCTAAAAGTCCTTTATGTATATAGTCATTTTCTAAAAATGTTCTATTTGTCCCTTACATTTTTATTGATTTTGAATTATACTATTATCACTATCCTGACCACTCCCACTCTTAAAGACACCTCAAAAGCATAAATATTCCCTTTCAGTATTGGTCTTCAGACGATATTGGTGTCTTGTTTTTAGAATTCTAACTGATGCTCACACCTAAGTTTCTCAAAACAAAATACAAGTGACTCAAGATTGTGCCACTGCACTCCAGCCTGGGCAACAAGAGCACTCAGTATTGCCCACATTTTTAATTTTTTTTTTTTTTTTTTTTTTTTGAGATGGAGTCTTGCTCTGTCACCCAGGATAGAGTGCAGTGGGACGAACTCGGCTCACTACAACCTCCACCTCCTGGGTTCAAGCAATTCTTCTGCCTCAGCTTTCTAATAGCCGGGATTACAGACCCATGCCTCCACGCCCAGCTATTTTTTTGTATTTTAGTTGAGACGGGGTTTCACAATGTTGCCCAGGCTGGTCTCAAACTCCTGAGCTCAGGCAATCCGCCAGCCTCAGCCTCTCAAAGCACTAAATACAGATAGGAGCCACTGCGCCAGGCCCACATTTTAAATTTTTAACATTCCTATGAGATTAAAACTAGGCACAAATTTATAGATGTGCTCTGATTGTCTTTTTATAGCATCACAATATGTCTTTTGAGGACTTTTCTGAAACTTGGCCTTTGAACATTGCAGACCATAAAGGCCATGGAGTTCAAGCCCCTTTCTCTAGAAAAAAGTCTGAGAGCCTGAGGGAAAGTGGCTGCTGGCAGAAGGACAGACAGAAGCCCAGGGCAGCTGACTGGAAGCTGGTGTGCTTCCTCCTTACCCTGCCAAGGAAAATGACACGATGGGTGGGCATCCTCTGGAGGCCATCCCTGTAGGAGCCCTGTGTCTGTGAATGAGGCTCACCCAGGCTGTTCCAGTCTCTGAAACTCTTCTATTCTTGAAATAGCAGTCTCACCTAATAGTCCAAGAGAGCCAGAGGATACAGAAACTGGGGCCTTGTTGGCCTGCACCAAAATAATGGAGAAAAGTGGTTGCATTAATACTATGTTTAAACTCAGTTTAATTTTTATTGGAAGGGTAATACAGGAAAAGTTACTATCTTAAAACTTTCTGAGCTCCCTTTTTAACTTTTTTTTTTTTTTTTTTTTTTTTTTTTTTTGCCATGCTTTGCATAAAGAAATCAGACAATTGGTCTTTCTTAGCCTGAGGACAGCTTAGCCTGCTGATTCAGTTAGATGGATAAAGATAATCTTCAAACAAAGGGGATTTTGAAATTCTGAGGAAGGTAGAGGTCATTTTTGTGAAGGGACTATTCAGCTCATCAGATGGATGCCAGATTAGACTATGGAGGGCCAAAGTCAAGGATGGAAGGGGTCTGTGTCTCAAAATGTTCCACCTCATATACGATGTCTTTCATACAGTCCCACTTTCCCTAGCTGGCTCCAGTTAGATGCCCAAGCCTTCCGTGTACCCCAAGCCAAGGGAGAGATTGGACGCATTGGGCTGGGGTAGGAGCTAATTCTGGGAACAGCAAGGAAGTCTGAAAAGCATCAGTGGGCCTGGCAAAGTGGCTTCCACCTGTAATCCCAGCACTTTGGGAGGCCAAGGTGGGAGGATCACCTGAGGTCAGGAGTTTGAGACCAGCCTGACTAACATGGCAAAATCCCGTCTTTACTAAAAATACAAAAATTAGCTGGGCATGGTGGCATGCACCTGTAATCCCAGCTATTCAGGAGGCTGAGGCAGGAGAATTACTTTAACCCGGGAGGCGGACGTTGCAGTGAACCAAGATCACGCCATTGCACTCCAGCCTTGGCAACAAGAGCAAAACTTCATCTCAAAAAGAATAAAAGGCAGCAGTGGGCAATGGAGTCTTATATGCAGGAGGCTGGTGCTTCAATTGCTATCCCTTTGTTCTCACCCCATTAAGGATAACCACTGAATTCCAGATACAGCCTTACCTGTGTTTCAAAGCAGATTTCCACAGTGAACTAGGGCTATCCCAAGCAGGAATGACTAACAGATTGTGGCTAGTTTTGTTACTGAGAACATAATGCTAAAAAACCCAAACCCAGACTTGATCCCAACTACATCAGTTAATTTCACTGTTTTACTGGTTTACACTTTCAACAGAAACACTCTGAGTGCCCACCATACACCAGGCATATTATAAGAGGCTCTGAGGATGTAGAGATAAATCAAACAAAAATATAAAGCTACAGGTTTAATGTTAGGATGCAGTGGGATACCTCTAATTCTGAATCCCAAAGCCTTTGAATGGATATGGTTGCCCATAGAAAAGCTGAGTAAGGACAGCTGAAAACCTACCCTCATGTTAGCAAAAAAAATTTAATTTCTGACTGACAGCAATTAGCTTTTTACACTATGAATTTCCCAGTTCTGCTGCACAATCTACCACTATCACCAGAATCTTACGGAGTAGACAGGTGGTTTGACACATGTGGGTATGCATCAGAATCACCTGAGGAGCTAGCAAAGGACACAGAGGCCCTGATACATTGAAGTAGGTGAGAGAGAGTCCAGGCATTTGTAATGTCACCAAGTTCCCCAGGGTATTCTGATGCCACCAAAGTTGGAAAATCACTGCTATACATAATGAACGTCTTCTGTGAAGTGGCAGAAATCTTACACAGCATCCTGGGTGGGTCCTTCGTTAAGGACAAAAGTGAATGGAGCCCCTCGTGTCTGTCCAAAATAGATCTATGGGCACAAGGCTTCCTACGCAGTGTGACACCCAGCCATTCATGTTAGAGAGCGCTCTCCCACAAGAAGGAGCTACAGCAGGCAGTGAGAGTGGATCAGTCATACCCTTTGGAATTCACTGTGCACTCAGACTTTGTCACAGATGAAACTAACTCTCCCTTGACCGAACAGAGCAACAATTTTCTTTAGACCTTAAACTTTAGAAGTAGAAAGCCGTAATAAATAAATAAGAAAATCATTACTATTTTGCATCTGTAGATGGTAAATAGCTAAAAAAAAGACCCCATACCTCTAGATCTTTCAGAAATGTTACTCACTTTGAAAGAAAAAAATGAAAAAGTCTCCTTAGTTCTAGAAAAATAAATACTCCATTGATAAAAATGCCTCCTCCTATTTCTATCCCCCTTCTCTTTAGATGCAAGGGATGTTCATATGTAACCTCATCCTGACACCCAAAATCCCCTCCCTAAATACTGCTCTTCTTTTATGAAAAAGGTGTCAACTTTTAAAAAATTATGGATAGAGGTTTTGTATTAAAGGAGACCTGAACCCTAAAATCCTAGGTGATGGCAGCCCTGGTAATGACACTCATCTTCTGAAAGGAGTCTTCTTTTAGTGGGTGGTAGATTCCAAATGATTATCAAGAAAGTGGTAACAAGACTGGGTCAGAGGTAGAAGGGGGGGCTCGGGGAAATCTGGGGAAACCTAGTTCCTAGTGGCTGGGAGTGATAGCGTTTGCCTTGTCTAGCCTTGTGTTTCTTTCTTCTACACTGGTGTTTTTTTCTCCCCAGCTGAAGACTTGAATAAATATTTTGATTTTCTATTGTTGCCGACGATTACTGCATCTTCTTATTTAACTTATGTCTTCTTTCCAAGCGAGAGTATCCAGGTTTCGGTTGGATCTATTTTAAGGTGAATTAATTAACCAGCATAATAATACATTCAATATGTTTCTTGTTTCATTATTTTTTTTACTCTAGTTACAGAACACGTGAACTAGAATCCCTAGTAAACCACGTTGTCTTTTGGATTTGTCTGTTTGTTTGTTTCGTTCTACCCTGATAGGGGAACCTGCCCCCAGACTACAGAATCAGCCTGATTGACATCGGCCTGGTGATCGAGTACCTGATGGGCGGGGCTTATCGCTGCAACTACACGCGCAAGCGCTTCCGGACCCTCTACCATAACCTCTTCGGCCCCAAGAGGGTAAGGCTGGCTGCAGATTCGGGGCCCCTCCCAAGAGGATTAGGGCTTATAAGATTTGGGTTGTGGCTTCTTTGTCTCGAAGGAGACCAGTTGAGAAAGATAACTGCCCCTCCTCCTCCTCTTCTTTTTCTGTCAAATCTCTTAAATAACATTTTGTAATTAAATATATATATATATGTGGATATGTTTTTGTTTTTGTTTTTCATTAGGTCGAATTCAAATCATAAAATTGTGCTGGGACTGAACCTAAACAAAAAATAGTAATGAAATTGAAATTAATCTTGAGATTATTAAACTCAGCAGTTTTCCAGGTTTTGGGTCTTTATACCTTTAAAAATTGTTGATAACCTCTAAGAGCTTTTATCTATGGGAATTCTACCTATTGGTATTTGTTTACCATGTTAGAAATTTAAATGGAGACTCTAAAAATATTTGTTAATTCATTTTTAGTTAAACATAGGAATCCCATTATATGTTAACATAAAGAACATGTTTACAAAAATAAATATATTCTCAAAAACAAAGAATAAATTTATAATAGGAGCTTTTTCTTAATCTTTTAGAAATTTTTGTAAGTCCAGCTTAATAGAAGAGGGCTATATTTCATCTAGTGTATTCAGTCTATTGCAGGATGTTCTGTTTAAAGTATACGAAGAAAACCTGACCCCACAAAAATATATGACAAATGTGGCAAATATATCAGACAAAGGAAGGAATATTTTAACCATCTTTACATATAATTGTAGTCTTTTTTGTTACTACACCAAAATTTAATAAGTAACGCTTTCTTAAAAATAAGTTGCAAGGTGAAATCTAAAACCATATAAGTGAACTTTTCATATTCTGTTACATTAAAATCCACTGGTCTAGACAGGCATGACCCCAGCTACTAAGGGGGTTGAAGCAGGAGAATGGCTTGAGCCCAGGAGTTCGAGGCTGTAGTATGCTATTCCAGTGCCTGCGAGTAGCCCCTGCCCTCACAGGGTTAACAATAACAAAATCAAATCTAATGTCTATCTTGTACTTTGTATGGATCTTGTAACATCATAGATTGATAATGGAAAATTATTGGTTTTTAAGACACACAGATCTTCCAAATATTGACACATTTTATTATACACATTTTATTATACAATTTCATTAGTATTACCTCTATCTCATGGGAAATGTTTTTCAGTATTGAAAAGTTGTCAAAGTCATGGTGGGATATGGGGAGAGTAGATAGACGTTTTCCAAAATCCTAGTATTTTTCTTAAAAGTTTGAATTTTGTCATTGGCAACAAACACTGCCAGTTGTTTTCCTTGAAATAACAGCCTCACATTGGTCATTCCAAACACATCTCCCAAAGGTCCAAGGCTCCATAACCTTACTCCATCTGCCGGTCAGTTCATTAAGGAAAAATTATATTCCATGAAAAAAATACAGCTATAATTCAGTCCAAACAGTCGTGCTTTTCTCAGGACAACTCAGCATAGTTCAGTGTAGAGCAGAAGTGTTTTGGGGGCATAATTCCCATGTCATCCCACAGAATAGTAAAAAGATGGCTAAGTAGGGGTAGAGATTTAGTACAGTTAAGTGTTTTTCAGGTCTCAAGGCCTTTTTTGAGACAGAGTCTTGCTCTGTCACCAGGCACCAGGCTAGAGTGCAGTGGCGCAATCTCGGCTCACTGCAACCTCTGCCTCCCGGGTTCAAGCAATTCTCCTGCCTTAGCCTCCTGAGTAGCTGGGACTACAGCTGTGCGCTGCCATGCCCGGCTAATTTTTGTATTTTTAGTAGAGACAGGGTTTCACCATGTGGCCAGAATGGTCTCAATCTCTTGACCTCGTGATTCGCCCGCCTTGGTCTCCCAGAGTGCTGGGATTACAGGCATGAGCCACCGTGTCCAGTCGCCATTCTTAAGTAAAACTTTTGCATTTGCTTTCTGCAGATGGGTAACACTGGAGTCTAAAGACATCTGGTAAAGGTGGGTACCACTGCCTTTCTTCTTCTCAAGGCACCCACCAGTTTTACTCACCACTGCTTTTGCACCATCAGTACAAATGTCAAGACGGTGCAAACCCACCTACATGTTAGTACTGTTATGAAGATACCTTTGACTTCACATACCTCTCAAAATGTTTTGGGGCCCATAGGCCACATTCTGAGAACTTCTGGTCTAGCTGGTAGTGAGCATTTTTTATTTTATTTTATTTTATTTATTTATGATGGAGTCTCACCCTGTAGCCCAGGTGGGAGTGCAGTGGTGTGATCTCAGCTCACTACAACATCCGCCTCCCAGATTCAAGCAATTCTCCTGCTTCAGCCTCCTGAGTAGCTGGGATTACAGGCATGTGCCACCACACTCGGCTAATTTTTGTACTTTTTAGTAGAGACGGGGTTTTGCCGTGTTGGCCAGGCTGGTCTTAAACTCCTGACCTCTGGTGATCTGCCCGTTTTAGCCTCCCAAACTACTGGGATTATAGGGATGAGCCACTGTGCCCAGCTATGATTTTTATATTTAACAAAGCTTTCTTCTGATTCTGAAAGTATTTTGTGGTACTAGTAAAGAACTTAGAAAACACCTAAAATTTAACGACAGGGATTTGTTAATGAAACAATATATAACAAATTTTAAAAATGCCAACAAGTATAAATAAGCAAAAAAATGAAATAGATGCTAGTCTAGTGGTCATTTTAGAAACTGAAAGAGGTATGGGGCGGGGGAGAGAGAGAGAGATTGAGAGAGATTGAGAGAGATTGAAATTCGGTCTGAGCTGTTCTAATGTGAATAGTCAAATACAATTTTGAGGAGCTGTAAGTGCTATACCCTTACCATTTACTCAGATAACTTTGAAGATGGCACCCAACCATTCTGAAATATTTAAAAGCTTAAAATTGGTCTTCCTGGCCCCCAAGATGTAATTACTTCCTGTTAAATGTAGATCAGGGTCTGTGTTCTAAGTTGCCTTCCTCTCCGTCTCCTCAGCCTGTGCCTGTTTTGCACATTCCCAGCATGGCCAGTGATGCTTCCTGTGTGCTGACACTTTCCATGCTGTTGAGCATCTTTGCCACCATCAGCACAGGCCCTCTAGCCCCACTTGCCCTTGCCCTGCTGTGCAGCAGCACAGGGAGATGGCCAGCATGAAGCATCTAACATATTAATATATTCCTGAATAATACTCCAAGTCTCCAGATAATAGAGGCTTTTCACAGGTTTGAGAAATACGTGATTGGATCTGTTTGATGGAAGGTTTCCTTGTTCATCTTTCTTGGTCTGTTCAGGCTGCTATGACAAAATATCATCAGCGGATGTCTTATAACAACAGAAATTCATTTCCCACAGTTCTAGAGGCTAGGAAGTCCAAGATCTAGGGACCAGCAGATTTAGAGTCTGGTGAGAGCCCGCTTCCTCATTCATAGTGACACCTTCTTACAGTAGAAGGGTGAACGAGCTGCATTGAGCCTCTTTTACAAGGGTACTAGTCCCATCCCTGAGGGTTCTTCTCTTGATCTAATCTCCTCCCAGAAAGCCTCCCTCCTAATGCCATCAGCTTTGAAATTAGAATATCAACATATGAATTTGGGGGGCACAAACATTCAGACCAGAGTACTCATTCAAGTACTAGATGCTCTGAAGGTGTCAGCCAAGCAGGATGGTTATAGAAGATGAAATAAATCTTGGTTCTCAAAAGACATTCTAAACCTGCATGCTCCATCTTCAGGCAATCTCATTATGCCTGGCCAGCATCCTCATCTTCTGAGGATTCACTAAACTCACCAAATCCAAAAATCTCCTTTGGAATTTCTATAAATCCGTTCTTCTTGTGGTGTTTTATTTAGTAAAATAAAATAAATGCTATATGCTACAATAGTGTTCTTATATTCCATGTTTACAATCTAATAGGACTCTTGGAGGCTGGGTGTGGTGGCTCATGCCTATAATCCCAGTACTTTGGGAGGCTGAGGTGGAAGGATCACTTAAGCCTAAGAGCTTGAGACCAGCCTGGCAACATAGTGAGACCCCATCTCTATAAAACATTTTTAAAAATTAGCTGAGCGTGGCAACATGCACCTGGACTCTCAGCTACTTGGGGGACTGAAGTGGGAGAATCACTTGAGCCCAGGAGGTCGAGGCTGCAGCAAGTCATGATCATGCTTCTGCACTCCAATTCAGGTGACAAAGTGAGAACTTGTCCCAAAAAACTAAACTGAATACATATTATAGGACTCTTCTTACCTATATGAAAGAAAGATCTAACTGATCTAACTTTGTTCACAACATTTTTTTTAACAGCCCAAAGCCTTGAAACTGCTGGGAATGGAGGTAAGTGTTTGCTCAAATTATTAGTGTCAATGATTTATTCTCTTTATTACATATTATATATATGCTGTATTTATAGTATATATATAAAATATATAGTGTATATATATATAATATACTATATATGAAATATATATACTATAAATATAGTATATATAATGTGTAATACTATATATACCATATACTATATGTAGTATGTATATATTATAAAATTATATATATATGTGTGTGTGTGTGTGTGTGTGTATATGATGTGTCACAAGGTTGCTCAGAGCACCTTTGAAAATTCCACCATGAGGTTTTATCAGTATTGCTAACAAAAAAATAAATCCTATTTGAACTATCTGGAAAACAAGGAAGCATATAAATTCAGTAATCAAAATTTATTCTTGAGTGTTTACAAATAGTAACAGATTCGAAGGCCAGAACTACTTCACAAATGCATCTAATAGGTATTTGGAAACTCGAGATAAATTATACGTTTGTCATCTTTTGTTCATGTGGTTATTGTCGTATATGCAAATAAGAATCTAGGATGTCCTTATCCTTTCAGCAAAAAGGGTAATGCTGTTCATCAGGTACAAACAACATTACCTTTTGAAGAAGTAAATGGACATAAGTAAAAAGAAAGAAAATGGCCCATTAAAAAATAATTATTTAAATGACAATGTAATTCGTGTTCTCACAGCACTGTGCTTATGCATTTATGAGCACTTGTTTTAAAGTTAGGCATGGAAGAGCTTATGAGATCTTTTAAGACAGGAGCTAGCCTAGTTCATTTCAGTATTGATCCCAGAGCTAGCTGGGAGTAGATATACAATTGCTGCTTACTGAAATGAACCAATGCATTTCTAACGCAGCCAGTATGGTTTCCCTGTAATTACAGGATGATATTCCCCTGAGGCGAGGAAGAAAAACAACCAAGAAACGTGAAGAAGAGGTGGACATTGACTTGGATGATCCTGAGATTAACCACTTCCCCTTCCCTTTCCACGAGCTCATGGTGTGGGCTGTCCTCATGAAGCGGCAGAAGATGGCCCTGTTCTTCTGGCAGCATGGTGAGGAGGCCATGGCCAAGGCCCTGGTGGCCTGTAAGCTCTGCAAAGCCATGGCTCACGAGGCCTCTGAGAACGACATGGTTGACGACATTTCCCAGGAGCTGAATCACAATTCCAGGTGGGTTAGTCCAGCAGATGGGCTGGTCAGGGGGAGAGGAGGAAAGGTGGGCTCCCAGTGCTGGAGGGTCTGAGCTACTCAGAACTTTAAAGGAAGACAGTATCACCCCAGTGACGCACACACAGGATGGACACAAACAATTACCCTTTATTGTGTGCAGTTCCGCAGATGGTGGTACATACAGAAGCATACAGCACTTTATTTCACCCTCTCAACTACCTCATGAGGTAGGTCCCATACTATGCACTTCTTTCAGCTAGGAAAAATGGGCTCAGAGGATTTAAGTAACCTGTCCAAGATCACAGGTGTGGTGACAAGACTGGAATTTGAACTGAAGTTTGACACATTTAAAAGGACATACTGCCTTGTGCAGTGGCACATGCCTGTAATCCCAGCACTCTAGGAGGCTGAGGTGGGTGGATCATTTGAGCCCAGAAGTTTGAGACCAGCCTGGGCAACATAGCAAGACCGCATCTCCAAAAAATCAAAAATTAGCTGGGTGTAGTGGTACATACCTGTAGTCCTACCTACTCAGGAGGCTGAGGTGGGAGGATCTCTTGAGCCCAGAGGGTCAAGGCTGAAATGAGCCATGATCATGCCACTGCACTCCAGCTTGGGAAACAAACAGAGATGCTGACCAAAAAAAAAAAAAGGAGACGACATACTGCACTCTATTGATTGCTCCACCTCCTACACTCATATGCCTTGAATTTGAGGGCCTGAGAACAGAGATCACGTCTTGTTTGTCTTACAACCCTCAGTTCTATACCTGGTAGCTGGCACATAGTAGATGCTTAATGAATGTTGACTGGATTAATTTACAAACAGACTAGACCCCATAGGAAAAAAACTACATCACACAGTGGCCACATTTTCTGGTTGGCCAGTGGGTCCCCATTTTGGTCTTATAAGTCTCCAACCTGGCCTGAAAGACTCTTCTACCCATTCTGTCTTTCAGAGACTTCGGCCAGCTGGCTGTGGAGCTCTTGGACCAGTCCTACAAGCAGGATGAACAGCTGGCCATGAAATTGCTGACGTATGAGCTGAAGAACTGGAGCAACGCCACGTGCCTGCAGCTTGCCGTGGCTGCCAAACACCGCGACTTCATCGCTCACACGTGCAGCCAGATGCTGCTCACTGACATGTGGATGGGCCGGCTGCGCATGCGCAAGAACTCAGGCCTCAAGGTCAGTGCACCCAACAAGGCCCTCTTGGCTGTGAGGGCCGGAGGGTGGGTTAGAGTGTTCTCAGCCAAAATCTGCTGTGGGATTGGGCATCTTCTTATCTCAGGAGGGTGGTTCTAAATCCTGACTGTGCATTAGAATCCTGTAGAGTGTTGCTTGGTTTTGTTTTTTCCATACAGAGCCTGGGGCCTCTCCCTGGGTCCTGCTACATCGGCATCTCTAGAAAGGGTGCCTGGACATTAATATTTTTCAGAGGATTCAAAGGTGATGGCCATGCACAGGTACTACAGAGGCTGCCATTTGTAGAAGCAAAGCCAGCTGCACCAGGAGTCCTCACCTAGGCCACCTGTCTCTGCAAAGGGTGCCTGAACCCCTGGCCTTCCTCGGCTTCATGTCATAGAGACATTGGCTCTTACCAGATGTGCTTGAGAAATCTTTTTAAACCAAAATAATCAATACCCATTTTTAGAAAGCAACATTCCCATTCTCTCTCCCTCTTTTTCTTCCTCATTCTTCCTCTCCTTCACTACTTTTTCTTTCTTTCCTTCTTTTTCTCAAGAAAAAAAATAAATAAATAAAACTGAAATAAATTTATATGTAAAGGTGTTGCTAGATAATCCTAATCTATTCTTAAATGAAGAAAAATGAGCCACAGGCCAGTATGTATAATCTGAGGCCATTTTTAATGTGTCTAAATATAGTTATGTCTGTGTACATTAACCTATAAAAACCAGGAAGGACACATAGTAAATTGTCGGCAGTGGTCACCTCTGATGTTGAATGGACTATGAAACAGATGTTACTGTTTTTAGGAGAAATAGAATGGCGGGTAGCATTTGCTTTTTTAATGTTCTTTTCAGTGTTTTTCAAGGAAAACACAAAACTGAAAAAAGGTAAAGAAAGAAAAAATGGGAAATGGAAAATTGAAATAATGTGGGGAGTTTTTTGTTTTTTGTTTTAAGGTATACAACATGATGGGTTTTTTTGAGGTTTTGGTGGTGGTGGGGGTGTTGAAACAGGGTGTTGCTCTGTCACCCAGGTTGGAGTGCAGTGCCATGATTTTGGCTCACTGCCACTTCCGCCTCCCTGGTTGAAGTGATTCTCCTGCCTCAGCCTCCTGAGTAGCTGGTATTACAGGCACACACCACCATGCCCAGCTAATTTTTGTATTTTTAGTATAGATAGCATTTTGCCATGTTGGTCAGGCAAGTCTTGAACTCCTGACCTCAAGTAATCTGCCTGTCTTGGCCTCCCAAAGTGCTGGGATTACAGGCATGAGCTACTGATGCCCAGCCACAACATGATGTTTTGATATACATGGTGAAATGGTTACTCTAGTCAAGTAAATTAACATATCCATCATCTTACCTCATTGCCCTTCCTTGTGTATGTAAGAGCACCTAAAACCTCTCATAGCAAATTTCTAGTATATAGTACAGTATTTCAGCTAAGTCTAGTATATAGTACAGTATTTCAGCTAAGTCCTCATTTTGTACATTACATCTGTATGGTACATACTCACCCTACATACCTGCAACTTTGTACCATTTGACCTATATGACTCCATTTCCTCCTCTCCCCAACCCCACACCTGCATCTGACACCCACTATTTTATTGGACCAACACCCCTTCCCCATATCACTCTTCCTGTGGGCTCTTGGGCCAGAGTCACAGGAGGGTTCCTTGATGTGGGTCATGGGCACTTAATAGCCACACTGCTGGTGATCGCCAAGCCCAGCCTCTGGAAGGGAGCCAAGCTGGCTCTCAGCTCTGAGGACGGGGTGTTATGTCCCCTGAAGAATACCAGCTTGCTACCTGAGCCTTCCCAGGGCAGCCAGGCACCCAGAATTCAGCATCATAAATTCATAGTCATTTTCGCTGAACTTTTCTGCCGTCCCTGTGTGCATTCAAGCACTGTCCTTGCCTTATTACTGGAGGATCATTTTTACTGACCCTTCAGGAGATCTTAACCCCTCACCTTGGAGCAGTTTCTTTAAGGAGGTTCATCTTCAGAAATTGCGCCTCAGAATTGTTTTAGGTTTGAGAGAAGAAGTGAGAGAAGACTTGGGGAATTATCATGCAGAAACGTACTTGTTCACTCTGAAGAATGAGACCGCCTCTCAGAAGAAAAGCTTCTGTATTTAATGTCCTTGCATAGATTTACGCTTGATGTTTATAATGAGAGAAATACAATACTGGCTTCTCCTGGGACATTTGTGTAAGGGGTGTGTGTGTGTGTGTGTGTGTTCCTGCTGCATTGTAGCAAATACCAGGAAGATGCCCTAAAATGAATTAAGTGCTTTCCTACATGTATTCTCTCAAGGTCAACTTAGGACAGCGTTGTTTTTTTTAACATAGATAATCAGATAACACATAATCCACTCCACTTGACACATTAGCACAAAAAATGCCAATGGACAGATGTATGAATTGCTTTCACAGTCAAAATCAAGGGCTGTCTAATAGCTAAATGTAAATCTGAATTCTTTCCCACTTTTGCCTTAAATAGAGTCTCTTTTTCCTCTGTTACCCACACGCAAAGTGGGTGTTAATTGGGTAAGACAAATTTGGGCAAAATGCTTTTTTCCTCCAAAAATGAGACTGATCTACTGTGCAAAGTATTTCCTAGATGTGACCAAATGAACCTCTTAGTATTAATATGTTAGTTACTCAGATGTTCAGTCCCACTACAGAGCATATAACAATTGTGTGTGCACATGTACACACACACACACACACTCTCACTCACTCACTCTCTTATACCCCACACCCCAGGCCCTCTGATTCTAAACAACCACCCTGATCTTAATCCTTTAAATGTGATTATTATTATTATCATTATTATTACTTTAGGTAATTCTGGGAATTCTACTTCCTCCTTCAATTCTCAGCTTGGAGTTCAAGAACAAAGACGACATGCCCTACATGTCTCAGGCCCAGGAAATCCAGCTCCAAGAGAAGGAGGCGGAAGAACCAGAGAAGCCCATGAAGGAAAAAGATGAAGAGGACATGGAGCTCACAGTAAGGAAACACTGCACAGTTATTCTCTGTGGCCAGAATTCCTAGTCCACTTGTCCCACCAATATGCTTAAGATTCCATAACTCCTTAGGTCAGACATCTGTTCCCAGCCTTCCACCATGGAGTGCTTTCATTTCAGTACTGAGGCCAGGGTATTGGAAAAGTGTAAATAAAATGACTGTAGGGTCCACTCTTATGTGAAAACCTGCAGCCAGCCTGTGGTGCAGGACAAACCAGTGAAATTCTAAAGCAAGACACTCTACATTTTCCAAACAGGCAAAGCTTTTTGAACAACCAGAAGATGTGTCTGTCTCAGCACACGAGGAAGGAAAGGGAATCCATGATTCGGGAGCAGCCAGCTTCACTGAGCTGGTACTGTTCTACAGACCAGAAGCTAAGCCTGTATCTGTCTTCAGGGTCAGGCTCACAATTACCACACTAATTGAATTTTGAGGTTTGTATGCAAAGCTTTTATTAGCCCTTCCTGGTATAATATAGAGGATAGAGGCTTTGTTCTGCAGAGGGAAGGGGGCAGCTGGACATGGGACAGCTTCTCGCAACCCCCGCCAGAGCAGCGTGACTGCCACTGGCTCATATGCAAAGGCTAAAAATATCACATGCTATTAAAGAGACAAACAAGGCTTCATAGCTTAGAAGTCATCAAGCAACAGCTCCATAAGGACTTTCTCAATATGCCTCACCCTCCCTCACCACCCCCGCCGTTGACCGTTGTTGCTGTAGTGACCCAGAAGAAGCTATAAGGGGTGAAACCAAAAATTGGTTTGCTCAGGTGACAAAAGGCCTTTGTATTATTATCCTAGTGTGCCAGTACTGTGAATTGTTTCTCTTCCAGATAAAGAATATTTCCTTCCAGTGGACTCTTCCTAAAGATCCGTTTGCAGACACAGTCCCTGACTTACTGGATTAAAGGCCAACCTTTGTTTCAGTTTGAGGATTTGTATAAAAATCTGTGGAGTCAGCTCACTTCTGTAACAGATGACTGTCTCCCCTAACAATCTACCATAGTTTTGTCCTCTGGATAGAAGATAATAGTTTGATCATTAGAAGAAAATTGGCAATAGTAATACTGAACCTGTACTGAATATTTCAGCTGAACGTGTGCTCTGGAGCCAGAATCCTGCCCCATCATCTACTTGCTGTGTGACCTTGGGCACAATTTTATAACCTCAAACACAGCAAGGATAATGTTACCTCACAAGTAGTCGTCTAGTGTAAAAACTGTGCCTGTAAACTACTTATATGGAAGACCGGCACACTGAACTAGTGTTGTTTTAACAGTGCTAAGCGCTTTACAAATAGTTACTAATGGAATCCTCAGGAAAGTCCCACAAGACAGGCACTATTATCATCTCCATTTTACTTATTTATTTATTTATTTTTAGAGACAGGGTCACACTCTGTCACCCAGGCTAGAGTAAAATGGTGAGATTATAGCTCACTGTAACCTCAAATTTGTGATCTCAGGGGATCCTCCCACCTAGCCTCCCAAGTAGCTGGGAATGCAGGCGTGTACCACAACACCTGGCTAATTTTCTTTTTTAAGAGATTGCCCGGGCTAATCTGGAACTCCTGGCTTCAAGCAGTCCTCTACCCTGGCCTCCCATAGTGCTGGGATTACAGGCGTGAGCCACCATGCCCAGCCCTAATCCCCATTTACAGATGGAGAAGCTAACACTCAGAGAGGTTAAATTGCCCAAGGATACCAGCTAATCCATGGCAAAGCTAAGATCAGAACCCAGGCATATAGACTCCATCAGTCACACTTTTAGACAATAGGTTAAGGGTGAGAGAGAGTGTTTCTCTATTCTCCAGTTTGGTCCACCCTGTAACAGAAAGAATCCAAAAGTGATGAATGATCCTCCAAGTCAAGCCTGGCACAGTCCTGACATCAGCACACATCCTAGGAAGACATCCAGAAACTGAATCAGCGTTCTCTCTGGTTGGGTCTCAGGGAAGAAAGCAGAGAGAGGTAGCTCCCCCTGCTCAGTCTAGGGTTTGAGAACCTGATCATTCAAGAAGCCACTGTAAGAGATGCATCTCTACATTAAGAGCAAACTTTGCTAACAAGAGAATAGACCCTGGCATTGTTTACTAAGAGTCCAGTAGAAGGCACTGCAAGAGCATTGCTGCCCGTTTCTTCTGCACAGGCAGAAACAGTAGGGAGAAGGAAAGGACATGTGGCCTGGCAAACTCAGGACTTGACAGCAGTTGTCTTTAAAGGGGAGCCTCCCTTGACTCTGTTGGCAAATTCTGTCACTGCTTGGGCACTGGTCAGTGGACAGAACCTGAACAGAATTGCAGAGTGCAGCTCATGGGCACCTCCCGTCCTTTTATGGGCTTGATATTTGAGCCAGTATTATACTGGTGTTAAACCAGTACATCCTCCCTTGGAATGGGACATTTTCCTTTGGCCCTTCCAAAATGAGACACAAAAATATCAACCTCAATTCACTTCATTTTTGTAGCTTTTAGTAGTTTAGTTCACCTCAAAGGAACTTTCTCAGCCTCGACAACTGTGTCTAGCCAGCATCGATTCTCAAATCATGCTGTGCCGTTTTGTCTATATTTGACCCTGTTAGATTCTGCTTTAAGGAATGTCAAAGGAAATGTTTGAATACAGGGAGAAGACATAAACAAAATCACCAGTTAAGCTGCCTAGGCTGGAATTAATGAAATGTCAAAAATGCTTTACTTAAACCCATGAAAGACAAGCCCTTTACAAGTGCGTTCATGCAGGAATATGTCTGAATAATAAAGGCAAAACAGGCATTTGTTTTTGTTTTGACTGCACTGCTGGATAAATGTCCCCACAAGTCCACAGACCCAGGGCATGTCAATAGCTGTGCTGGGAAAGCCACCATCCCCAAAAGTTACCCCAACATGCCACTCTCCAAGATGCCTAAAAACCTTCAAGCTGTCTTTACTTTCATCTCATTGTGTCCCCAAATAGCATTAGGTTGTCAAGCATATAAATAAGCAAAACAGAAGCATGATAATTATGTAACATAAATTATAGACAACCAAATGTCATGTAACCAGAGTTTCTTGAGGTCAACGATCAATATTTATAGAACTCTATCACTGTCTACTGTGCCATGTCCATCAGAAAGATTTACTCCACTCACCGATGAAAATATACACTTAAGTCTTAGTATGCAATCTTACTTCTTCATTAACTCAAGGGACCTTTCCAGCCAGAGTCTACTCCAGAAATCCTACTGGTTACAGGTCAATCATTTGTGATTATTACATATTTGAATAAAGTGAATATTTGAGATAATGAACCAAGCAGTTGAAACTAATATTCGTATATTTTAGGTAAAGTATTTTAAGCCAGAATTAACTAGGGTTGTCTCTACTCTCCACTTAAAAACCAGTGAATTGTTTCTATAATGAGCTCTCTCAACTTTAAGCTTATATTCCCAGTAGTCCCAGAACAAGACTCTATCTTGTCCCAAATCTTTGTCAGTCCTGAGCAGTTATAAAGTCTTACCCTGTCCTCACATGTAATAAAAATCTCCAAATTTTGAGAAACTAGTAAGTACTGAAGAATTAAAGCCAAGAAATTATGCTGATATAGATTCTAATAACACTTTTTTTCTAGTGAGTGATTTCAACTAGATCATTTTAGTCAAGAGTGTCTTAGAAGGTCTCAGTTTACTTGAAAGCCTGGCTAATGTTTACTGAGGACTTATTAAGTGCCAGATGTTAACTGACTTGTAGGCAAACCCTATAGTGGGTACTTTATTACCTTCATTTTACAGTTAAAAAACTAAGTGTCAGAGTAGCTAAAAACATTTCCCGTGGTGCCACCAATTTGAAGTGTTTGTGTTCGGACTCAGTCTCCCTTCTGAGTGACCCAGGCCTGGAACTATTTCTCAGTTAAATCTAATTTATAGTTGTTGTCACTGCTACTGTTGTCATGAATGAGAAGAAAACAATTCTGTTCTCAAGGAAATTTCTAGCAGCTTGGACACAAGGACCTCTCCAGGTCAGGCCTGACTGGCATCCTTCCCCTAGTCCCACGTAGTTGCAGAGGAAGGCAGTGTTCACAGGAACTGCCCTAAAACTGTACCAGCAATAATTCAGGATTTACAGCCTTTGAAATCAGGGAGCTAATGCCCATGCCTAAGGGTCAGGGAGATGTCACCAACTATATTAGTCCCATTTTCACATGGCCATACAGATACTGCCTGAGACTGGGTAATTTATAAACAGAAGAGGGTTTAATTGACTCACAGTTCTGCATGGCTGAAGAGGCCTTGGGAAACTTACAATCATGGCAGAAGGCTAAGGGGAAGCAGAGCACATCTTACATGGTGGCAGGAGAGAGAGAGTGAGAGGCTGAGGAAGTGCCACGCTTTAAAACCATCAGCTCTGATGAGAACTCACTCACTATCACAAGAACGGTATGGGGGAAACTGCCCCCATGACCCAATTACCTCCCACCAGGTCCCTCCCCTGACACGTAGGGATTACAATTCAAGGATGAGATTTGGGTGGGGACACAGAGCCAAACCATATCACTAACCTAACTAAGCTCCAGGCACTGCAGATCATTTATTACTTGAGTAATCACAACCTTTGGATAAATTAAGTACTCTGGTCCAATTTACCTTTGACTTAAGGGTCCTTAGCATTTGAAGAGACAGATTTGAACCCAGATCTAGCCTGTTTTATGATATATAGAGAGCACGTGGGTGGGGAGGGAGAACAGATTCCTGAAGTCTGGCCTTCCCAGGCTACACTCTTTCTTCCTCTCTGGAATCTGGGCATCTTCTGTTACCCACATCTTCCAGAAGTCCCAGGGTTGAAGAGAAGAGAATGGTCAAGAAATACACCCAAGGCCTTCCATCTCAGGCAAAGGGTATTCACAGATTATACGTATAGTGCAAATACACTGTTAGAAAGGTACAACTAAATCTCTGGGCCCTTGGGTTCTTAGGTTCTCTGAGCATCCTTTCCTCATCTGTAAAATGAGCACATTGGACTACATGCTCTCCAGAGCCCTGCCATGATGATATCAATTCTCTTCCACCGTAGGCAATGCTGGGACGAAACAACGGGGAGTCCTCCAGGAAGAAGGATGAAGAGGAAGTTCAGAGCAGGCACCGGTTAATCCCCCTCGGCAGGAAAATCTATGAATTCTACAATGCACCCATCGTGAAGTTCTGGTTCTACACAGTAAGCACATTGCCCTTTCTCCTTCCTAAAGGATGGCCACGAGGAACCAATGTCTATTTCTCATGCGCCCATGCGGTTTTCTCTGCAAGTTGGAAGTGCCGCACACACATGAATGAAAGTTCTGTCACCTTGCTTTTTCAGTAGCTTTGCAAGATTTGTGGCATTTGTTAGGCAGCTTTCACAGGCCACATTTTTCCTTCTCTCGGAAAATGAAGGAAATGGTGGAGGTGAGAACTAACAGAAATAGAGGTGAGATGAGTATGAGTCTTGCCTGACAGGAAAGTAGATGTCATTTTCTGAAAGGCTTCCTTGTTTTGAATGGACAAGCGCTAGATCACAGTCGCCCATTTTAGATGCCAGTCTGGATTTGGGGGGACTTTTGGTGGGTAAACAGTGAGGAGAGTCTGGAAGTAACACCACTAAAGAGGTCGTGTGTGTGTGTGTGTGTGTGTGTGTGTGTGTGTGTGTGTGTAAATACTTCCAAGCTGCTAGTGTCATCAAACAACCTTTCTTGTTCCAACACAATTAACAATATGCAAACCACAGCAGCAAAAACGACTCAAAGGCAACCTACAATCATGGCAAATATTGTTTAGTATGCACATCCCATAAACATTTCCTGCCTTCAAAAGAGTGAATTGTCCCTGAAATGACCTCCTGCTCTGGTAAAAATGGTTTAATGATTGGTTCTTCACTTCTACTCTTCAGTGATTTTTTTTTTCATGGTGAGCTTTTGGCCCAGGTCATCTCCGATTCCTTCCAACCACAGTGGAACTGCACCAGATGAAGGATAGTGCATCTGTATTTTTAGCCCTTTCCACAACCAGCTGCATAGCAGTCATTTGAGTCAGCCACAGGATAATCTGTATCTGAGGCCAAAATGACTCAAATGACCAGATGAGGTGCTTTTCATGTGGTCCTGTGTTCTAACACTTAACACTGACTTTAAAGCTGGGTTTCTCCACATCAGTGCTATTGACATTTAGGGCTGGATAATTCTTCACTTTGGGGACCACCTCCGCCCCCACAGGTAGTATGTTTACAGCATCCCTGGCCTCTACTCAGTGGCAACTCTTTAGCCCCCAAGAATGAGAACCAAAGTGTCTCCAGATATTGCCAAGTATCCCCTTGTGGGATAAAATTGCCACCATTCAGAAACTACCACTTTAAAGTGTGGTCTTGAGAGACGATAGAATATTATCGAAATACAAATATTAGATGTTTTCAGTGAAGTAAAAATTGAAATTTATCAATGTTAAGAGAAAAATTATCTTCCTCCAAAAATAACTGAGACATGCAAAATCATTTCTATTCATATATTTTATACAGCTCTATATTATTTTTAACCTTGCAGAAAACAGCTTAGTGGTGACAAGCATGGACTTTGGAATCAGACAGCCTGGGTGGGAATCCCATCTGCACTTCTTACCGTGTGCCCTCAAACAACTTAATTCCCATAATAGTAGTTCCGATTTTATAGGACTTAATGAAGACTAAATGTGTAAAAACATGCAAAGCACTTAAAGCAGTTCCTTGACGTGTAAGTACAATGTAACTGTGACTATTGTTTTTCCTAGGCTAGTCACATTGCACAGCAGTAGATAATCAGTGTTGTGTTCACCTACACACTCAACAAAAATACTCTTTTAGTGAGCACCTGCTATGTTTGAGGCAATGTTCTAGGTATCATTTAAGTACTCTCTGTAATCCTAACAACTATTTTATCAAGATGATATTTATTTATTTATTTGTTTGTTTACTTATTTATTTTGGAGACCGGGTCTCACTCTGTTACCCAGGCTGGAGTGCAGTGGTGTGATCTTGGCTCACTGCAATTTCCATCTCCCAGGTTCAAGTGATTCTCGTGCCTCAGCCTCCTGAGTATCTGGAATTACAGATGTGTACCACCACACCTGGCTAAAGAGATGGGGTTTTGCCATGTTAGCCAGGCTGGTCTTGAACTGCTGGCCTCAAGCAATAGGCCTGCTTGGTCTCCCAAAGTGCTGGGATCACAGGCATTAGCCACTGCACCCAGCCCAAGATAATATTTTTGCAGCTATTTTACAGCCAGGTCTGTTCTTCCTCTTATATTACAATAACCCAACTGTTAGCCTAGAACAGTTCTTGGCAAACTACAGCCCTTGAGCCAGATTCGACCCCTGGCCTGTGATTATGGCCTGCAAACTAAGAATGGTTTTTACATTTTTAAAGGGTTGAAATAAAATTTAAAAAGGAAAACTTGAGACACATGTTCAAATTTTAGTGTCCATACATAATTGGAACACAGACAGTCTCTTACTTTCTGTTAAAAGAAAAACTTGAACCGAATAAATTTAAAGGAGTTTAACTGAGCAATGAATGATTCGTGAATCAGGCAGCCTTCCAAGCCAGAGTGGGCTCTGAGACTCTAGCAGGGCCATGTGGTGGAAGATAGGGCAGTGGCATACAGAAAATGGAAGTGAGGTGCAGAAACAGCTGGATGGGTTACAGCTCAGCATTTGCCTTATTTGAACACGGTTTGAACAGTTGGCTACATTTGATTGACCAAAACTCGATAAATGGTCCTTTTACACCTTCATTTGTTATAGCTGACAATGTACAGAGGAACTTTTAGGCTGAACTTAAAGTATGTAAGAAAACAGTTTTCGGATCAACCTGATTTAACATTACCAATAGGCTGGCTGCTTTTGTGCTACCACATGGAGTTGATGAGTGCTGAGAGACAGAGAGAGGGACTATCAGGTCTACCAAGCCTTAAAGGTTAACTAGTTGGTTATTTGCAGAAAAAGTTTGCAAACCCATGAGAGCAGAAATCAGTAGAAGTGATAGTATCAGTATTTCTAAAACTTCCGTGATGAGAAGGGTGTTTTGTTAGAAGTACAAATTTCTAGCCCCATCATAGACCCGTGGAATCAAATCTTCGGGAAGGAGCCTAAAAGGCCGTGATAGTTGAACCAGCTTCCCAGGTAAATTTTATGATTAGAGATGGCTGAGACATACTGCTTTGCTTATGTTATTGGCGGCTTACTGAGAGGCTCCTCTTTGTGGGGTGGGACCTGTGTGTCCAGCACCCTTCAGCGTGTCTGACAGGGCTGGCCTCAGCAAACCCATCAGACTGGATCTCCCAGATCTGTTCAGTTGTGTTTACATCTTCGCGTACTGACAAAGTCCAGCTCTCGGGGAGGTGACTGGAAATGAGGTGTGCCAGTCTCAAATCAACAGACATAATTAACAATGAAATTCAGTTTCAGATTGAAGGTCCCACATGCTTTGGGCTATGTTTTTCTCTGTAAGAGTATTTCTCACCAGATTTCCAAAAATGGCCTCTCCCACTCTCCCAATTTTCTGAAAGGTAGGACACACCTCATTTCCATATGACCTCACTTTTTCATCATAGCAAGCTTCTCTAGGAGCAGGGGTCCACTCTCTTCTTCTCATCTAAGAAGAAAGGAGGCAGGGGTCCAACTGGCTTCTAGACCCTGCTTGTGTTGAGAGCCTATTTCAGGTATCTGGCTGGAAAAGTTCAAATTCAAAGTGTAAAATGACTGCAGGTCAGAGAACACAGTGCATGCTCTGAGTTTCCCTAGCAGTGATCAACTCTATCCTCTGTAAGACCATGTTTCCCTCTGCTCTCCAGAGATAGTAGAAAAAGGCCCAGGAAGAAGTGAGGAGGAGCAGAGTCCCACCAGGGATCCACAGCAAACTGTGGCAGGATTTGGTGCTTGTGTTTGATAGTTTAAGAAGCATGAATCTTGGTTAATGGAAAATGCATAGAAATAATACATACATACATATATATATATATATATATATTTTACTGTAAGTTCTGGGGTACATGGGAAGAACATGCATATTTGTTACATGTGCCCCATCACCCCATTATCTATTTTAGGTATTTCTCCTAATTCTATCCCTCCCCTTGTCTCCCACCCCCTGAAAGATCCCTGTGTGTGATGTTCCCCTCCTGTGTCCCTGTGTTTTCATTGTTCACCATTCACTTATAAGTGAGAACATGCAGTGTTTGGTTTTCTGTTGTGTCAGTTTGCTGAGAATGATGGTTTCCAGCTTTATCCATGGCCCTGCAAAGGACATGAACTCATCCTTTTTTATGGCTGCATATCATTCCATTGTGTATATGTGCCACATTTTCTTTATCTACTCTATCATTAATGGGCATTTGGGTTGGTTCCACGTCTTTGCTATTGTGAACAGTGCTGCAATAAATGTACGTGTGCATATGTCTCTATAATAGAATGATTTATAATCCTTTGGGTATATATGCAGTAATGGGATAGCTAGGTCAAATGGTATTTCTATTTCCAGATCCTTGAGAAATCACCATACTGTCTTCTACAATGGTTGAATTATTTTGCACTCCCACCAACAGTGTAAAAGTGTTCCTGTTTCTCCACATCCTCTCCAGCATCTGTTGTCTCCTGATTTTTTAATGATCGCCATTATGACTGGCGTGAGATGGTATCTCAATGTGGTTTTGATTTGCATTTCTCTAATGACCAGTGATGATGAGCATTTTTTCATATGTTTGTGGATACATAAATGTCTTCTTTTGAGAAGTGTCTGTTCATATCCTTTGCCCACTTTTTGATGGGGTTTTTTCTTGTAAATTTGTTTAAGTTCTGTGTAGATTCTGAATATTAGCCCTTTGTCAGATGGGTAGATTGTAAAAATTTTCTCCCATTCTGTTGGTTTTCAGTTGACTCTAATGATAGTTTATTTTGCTGTGCAGAAGCTCTTAAGTTTAATTAGATCCCATTTGTCTATTTTGGCTTTTGTTACCATTGCTTTTGGTGTTTAGTCATGAAGTCTTTGCCCATGCATATGTCCTAAATGGTATTGCCTAGGTTTTCTTCTAGGGTTTTTATGGTGTTAGGTCTTATGTTTAAATCTTTGATCCATCTGGAGTTAATTTTTGTATAAGGTGTAAGGAAGGGATCCAGTTTCAGCTTTCTGCATATGGCTAGCCAGTTTTCCCAACACCATTTATTAAATAGGGAATCCTTCCCCCATTGCTTTTGTCACGTTTATCAAAGATCAGATGGTTGTAGAAGTGTGATGTTATTTCTGAGGCCTCTGTTCTGTTCCATTGGTCTATATCTCTGTTTTGGTACCAGTACCATGCTGTTTTGATTACTATAGCCATGTAGTATAGTTTGTAGTCAGGTAGTGTGATAACTCCAGCTTTGTTTTTGTTTGTTGGTTTATTTTTGGGCTTACAACTGTCTTGGCTACATGGGCTCTTTTTTTTTTTTTTTTTTTTTTTTTTTTTGGTTCTATATGAAATTTAAGGGTTTTTTCCCAATTCTGTGCAGCCCAAAGTAATTTATAGATTCAATGCTATCACCATCAACCTACCATTGACTTGCTTCACAGAACCGGAAAAAAAAACACTTTAAATTTCCTATAGAATATATGTTAAAAAATGGAAATTCTTAGTTTTCCCACTGACTTAAATAAGACTGATAGGTTAGATTTCTGTTCAAAAGTCCGGACATTCTACATACAGGTTATTAAAGCTTACAGAATACATACATACATGCATACATGCATACATACATGTATATGTATATGTTTATACACATATACAAAGCACATCATATCAAGATAATCTACTGCTGCATGAATGTTGGTGAGTTCTGAGATAGGCTGCTTCCAAGACAGCAGCCCATTCTCTGTTGTGCCATCTAAACATAAGACCCTATTTTCAGAAGTCTGTATTTTGAGAGTTGTCCCAAAATATTATATTATAGCTTGACTATGGGAAAAGTTCCTTATAGAGTAACTGTGATGCAAAAAACAGGCAGGAGCTAAAAACTATGACACAAGAAAGCATAACCAATAATGAGGGCAATTTTAGAAAAAAAGGAGTGGTGTGCATAGTTAATTGGAAATCAAAGGGAAGTAAGGACTAAGGGGAGAGGAGACAAAAAGACCACCACCAGCATCTTGAAAAAAAAACAGGCGGATATTAGCCAGTATTTATTGGGCCTCTACAGTGTGTTGGCAGACACAGACAGATAGATCCCCAGTCATTACAAAGGAACTATAAGGAAAGTGGAAGTGATTCCATTCTCCAGAATGGAGGCCCAGGCAGGTTAACCTTACAAAGGATGATACATCTAGGAATTATGTGAGCTGGGATTTAAATCCAAGCTTCACTGATAGCTATGCCTACCTTCCTTCCACTAAGCACATTAGACCTGTATTCAGAGGACAGATGCAGGTTCAAGGAGTTACTTTTAAATACTATAATGCAGAGGTCCCGGAAGACTCTGTGTGTCACTGGGCATACATATGACAATAGAAGATAATGCTTTGGAATATTTTGCAATGCAGTGGATAAAATGATAAAACGAGGGCAGTTAACAATATTCATTTCACCTACGATTGATGGAATTTGACCCAACTAAGAGAAGGATTTCAAGTCAGAAGGAGGCTGAGAGTATATTTTAGAGTTTCAACCACTGAAGTCCTTTTTTTGTTTTTTGCAGTCTGTACTCACAGGACTACAGAATTGATGCCAGTGTTTTATGGTAAATGGAAACCATATGAACCAAGTTCCATTTTGAACTGATTTTTAAACAGCGTCCTACACAATTTTAAGTAAACTCTTCCATGAGAAGTTTTCATGATTCCTGAAGATGGGGAGGGGTAGGACCTAGGCATAGGTTGAAATGATAGGCCCCTGCAGGGTGAGGGTGGGTCAGTACAAACTATGCAGGTTAGGGTTAGCCTACCTGCCCAGCTCTCATAAGCTATCTCATTTAATTCTGACATACTTCACCCTTTAAGATATAAGGAACTTTTTGTGCAACAGTTGTGTCTGCAAATGTGCAGCATGATGGAGTCTCAGAATTATTTAGGCCAAGTGTGGCGGCTCATACCTATAATCTCAGCACTTTGGGAGGCTAAGACAGGTGGATCACTTGAGGTCAGGAGTTCAAGACCAGCCTGGCCAACATGGTGAAACCCCATCTCTACTAAAAATGCAAAAATTAGCCAGGTGTGGTGGCAGGTGTCTGTAATTGCAGCTACTCAGGAGGGTAACGCAGAGGTTTGCAGTGAGATGAGATCACGCCACTGCACTGCAGCCTGGGCAATAGAGCAAGACTCAATCTCAAAAAAAAAAAAAAAAAAACACACACACACACACACAAAAACCAAGAATCCATTCAGCTGGGTATGGTGGCTCATGCCTGTAATCCCAGCACTTTGGGAGGCCCAGGTGGGAGGATCTCTTGAGACCGGGAGTTTGAGACCAGCCTGGCCAACAAAGTGAGATGCCGTCTCTACTAAAAACACAGAAATTAGCGGGGCATAGTGGCACGTGCCTGTCATCCCAGCTACCCAGGAAGCTAAAGTAGGGGAATCACCTGAGCTTGGGAAGTCAATGCTACAGTGAGCTGAGATGACAATGCGATTGCACTCCAGCCTGGGTGGTGGGAGTGAGACCCTGTCTCAAAAAATAAGAGAATCTTTTTATTAGGAAAAGAAAGTAGGAGGTAGAGAAGGAGGGAGAAAGTTTCCTTAGTAGAGAAAGCAGCACATCTCCCAGTGAGGCTGCAGCTTCCTCTGCCTTCTAAGCATCCTTCCCAGCTCCAAAGTCACACAGTACCTGCAGACCCCTCAAGGCCTCAGTCCTTTCACCCACACTGTGTCCTGTTACCCGCTACACCACTCTGAAGAATGCAGCAGATTTTAATAAACTCCCCCTTGGTTCCTGCTCACAGCCCCTGAGGCCTCCACAGCCCCTAAGGCCAGTGAGGCACTCACTGGACTTGAGGCATTACCTGAAGAAGGCCCAGCTAACCTGCCATTGCCCTTAGGGTGAGTTTTTTCTCAAGGCTCTTCAGCCCCTTATGCAAGAGCCTCACCAGTTTCCCTGCATTTCACTCACCTTGACACAACTGAATCCTCCAGGAACAGTCACCAAACCCTGGGGAGTTCTTCCAGACATCAGCAATCCAGCCCATCACATCAGGTCCAACCCCAAGGCACCAGAGGCCTTTGGGGATTAAACCCCACTCCAGTCCACAAAAGACTGCACAGACCCTTTTCTTTCTATAGATTGTGTTGTTTTCTCTGGTTTTGTTTCAATGCAGCAAATACCAGGAAGGAATATTTTAACTTGGGTTGGGCAGGAAGGTGGTAAAATGAAAACGGTAAAACCCTCCCAGGGCACTGACAAGACAAGCACTTGAAGCCTAGGCTATTTTTATATTGGTTTGACCAATTTACAGGTGTTACATGCATCTTCTGCTTCCTTTTCTTCTCATGGACGCTTATTCTGCCTGGCATTCAAGAGGCAAAAATCCACTGTGCTGTCCTAGTTTAAGAACCTAAGGTCCACGCATGAGCAAGAGCAGCCACTGACAGCCAAGGTTCCCTTTTTAGCCAAGAAAACACACACACAAAAATGGGTAACTGCAAGACGAAATGATGCATCGTGACACATAGATTCAAACAAAGCACTAGAGCCCCAGCGACACATGTACGGGTTAAAAGAAAGATTGCATATTCTAGTATTTCAAGTATTACAGTCTTTTCTAATTCTTTTGGCAGTTTAGCACCTTCAAGTTCATTTTGTCCTACATTCTATGTCCTGCTTGCTGACCTTGTTCTGTGCTGCTGTGTGGTGGCCTTGGCTGCTACTGGGGCTCCTGGGCCTGAACAGCCAGAGCACCATATTGTATTTCCTTACAGCTGGCGTATATCGGATACCTGATGCTTTTCAACTATATCGTGTTAGTGAAGATGGAACGCTGGCCGTCCACCCAGGAATGGATCGTCATCTCCTATATTTTCACCCTGGGAATAGAAAAGATGAGAGAGGTAATGGCTTTTATAAAAGAAAACATAAGAGAAGGACAGTGGTTAAAAGTTCTATCTGTGGACAGAGGGGCAGGAAGATGCCTGAGATGCACATTAAGCTGGAAGCTGTTTTCTCTAAAGCTACCACAGCTGCTGATTTGCTCCTCTGACCAACCTGGGGAGGCTTCACAGTGTGGTCGTGATATGGGTGTCACGCCGAGTGCTTAGGATTTAGTCTGTTCTCTGCTAACATAGCTTTTGTCCAAGAAGGCCTCCAATTGTTTTTGATGCTGTTTACACCTATCTTTACTTATCCCTAAATACATGACTTTCTAGATGTTGCCACTTTTAACTTCCCTTTTAACCCCTTACTCTGGGTGTCTTTGGACACAGCCTGTGCATACCTGTGAGTCTCCAGATGTGTTTCAGCTGCTCTAGGAGGAACTCTGCTTTCACTCATTCATTTGCCTTATTCTCTGGTTTTTTTTCTTCTCAATGTTCCGCTCGCAACTTATGGGCACCAGACACTCCACCAGCCGTAGGGACCACCAAGATGAACTAAACGCAGGTCCTTCAAGTTGTGGGCGAGGGGTCCCTCTTTTCTCCCCCCATTCCTATGGCCTAAAAGGAGCCTTCAAAATGCCACCTCTAAATGGTTTATTTGAAATCAGAGGTAACCCGGGGCCCATCAGATTCAGAGCTGCTAAAAAGAATGTGATCAGGCGAAAGTCCACAAGAGGGCTCTGCAGCCCTGCTCAATGTTCACCACGAGCGTCTGTTCCACCAGGTACAACCCTTAGGGAAGGCAGGCTTAGGAGGCAGTGCCGATTTCTCTGCGTTTTTCCTGAAATGACAGTAGGCAAGATAGGCCCTTTCTGGAGGAAATGCTCCCAGTCAAGTCCACTGCGTCTTTAAGAGCTCGGGAACAACTCTAATTGCTGTACGACAGTGAGTGGGAGAACATATTGGGTACCATAGGAAAAAAGGACTCCTACAAATCCACACCTTCACTCTTGCCTTCAATTCAAAGACAGGTTAAAAGGCAAGGTTTCAGCTCTAGAATGTTCTCTTCCAGAGAAAGTTAGATGCAGTTGTATGGAAGTCATAAAAAATGTTTTATGTCTATTTTAAGCCCTTCTCTTGGGTTTGTAAACTATTTGGGGGATATTTTAACTCCAACTAGCATCTCCCCATCCTGAGAACTTAGGAGTGGGTATGCCAGTCCCATTTGACAAGAGCCTGGATCTTTTTTTTTTCTTTTTTCAAAAAAAAAAATGGAATGCCTTGCCTTGTTCCAGCTAGTTGTCTATACTTCGGTCTTCCCATTCATGGTGCCTTTTCTTCTTGACCAATGTTGTGGATTTCCCATTTGCAAACTGAAAAACACTAATAAATTTGCTTTGGTCTTTGTGCAGCTCTCTGAGAACTGAGGCCCGCTCCTGCTGAGGCCCTGTGGCTGTGTTGTGCCAGCTGGTGCCTGCGCTATTTAACGCCTAGATGCATATTCCTTCCCCAGGATAAGCAGAAAAGGGAAGGACTCGAGCAGGGAGATTGGAGTCTCTCCAGGGACCAGACTGGGAGAAGACAGGGAGCAGTCTGTACTCCACGGACTGTTCTGGCAGAGGCTGCCAAACAGGCAGGCTGCCAGGAGCCTCCAGGCCTGGATATCCATTTCCCCTAAGGAGGCATAGAATAGCAGGGAGGGCAGGGCTTTGGAGGCCGGGGTCAGGAAGGGGTCAACCAAAGAGTCCTCGCTTCCTGTGGGGAGTGAGGCGGTGACCACTTCAGAGTCTGACCTTTTCCTTTGCGGCCCAGTGAGGTAGTGCCCCACCCCCCATGTCCCGTCCTCAACTCACTCAAGAGGTGCTTGATGACCAATGGGTGAGGACCCCACAAACCACGGCCTTCCTGCCTCCTCACAGTCAGCACGCAGGACCTCCAGGGCTCAGACGCAAGTCCTGGGAACATGGAAAAGTTTGCATGCTTTGGTGCCTTCCCAGGGATACACAAGGAAAGCTTTGTGGTTTCCCATGATGTCCCCATTCCCAGCCCCACATACTTCTGCCTGGAGTCACCAAAGCCAGCCCTGGTAATCCCTTAATAGCATGGCACTGTTTACAGCGTGCGTGGGTAGACATTATCTCATCTGGATCCTCCTCCCCACAACTCTGTGAGGTCGATAGCATGACTATGAGAACATCCCACTGTACAGGTCTGGGAACTGAGACTCGGGAATTAAGAAATTTCCCCGTATTCCACAGCTAGAAAGGACGACTGAGCATGAAACCTGACAGATCCATCCCTAAACTCACTGTTCCTTCTCCTCCCCCATGATACTCCTCAGGCTTTCAGGGTTTGAAGACAGGTGCCTGAGGGCCGGTTTGAGAGGTAGAGGAGGCAGGGGGGACTCTATCCACCTCTGCTTCACCCCAGACTGCTCTGCTCTCTTTTTTTAATGTTGGGACTTTACAAAAAAAGAAAAAAGCTTCACTTTTTAAAAATTATATTACAAACCTCTGTGTTTAGCAGTTTTAGGAAAGTGTGCGCAAAGGGTTGAAAAGCTCAAGGCGTTGCCCATCAACCCCCTCTTCCCAGCTACATACACGGATTTTTGCTCTGTTAAGATGCAGCCAGGGAGTGAGAGGACAGCAGCAGCTGCAGAGATTGCTGATGAGTACAGACAGTGGTTCTCAAACTGTGGCCACCAGCAGGAGCTGGGAACTTGTTAGAAACGTCAATTCTCCACCCCACCCCCGGATTACAGAAGCAGAAACTTTTACCTAGCCCTCCAAGTGATTCCGATTTGCACTAAATTTTAGATCCCCTGGACTAGAGCTTAGGGCGGGACACCGCCTATAAAAAATAGGATTAGCAGGTAGGTCCTGATACCCTGCTCAGCTTCCAAGCCCCAGCCCTGACTTCCTAAAACCTGTCTTCCTTACTATTTCAGATTAAGGCAAACCATCATAGTGGACATGAGGATTCACACAAATAGCTGGAGATAGACCTGCCTCCAGTCTTTTCTCTCCTCTCCTTTGAGAGGTTCTCAGGTGGGGAAAGGGGTTGGTCATGGTTTGAAGTGATGGAATCCTCAGAGGTAAACACGAGCCCTTGAGGAAGGTGACCCTGGTGCACAGCTTCACTAAGTGGGGTTCCCTGGCTTCTCATGTCCTGGGCAGTCTGTGGTGCAGGATGGGTGCAACGCCTGCTGTCCAGCTGTGCATTTCATAGACCCATGTGTGGTAGCCCCTCTAGGTTTAAGTTAAGGCAAGAGTCCCATGAAGGAGTTAGGATATGCAATGGACTGGAAAATTGCTGTTAGTGCCTGCGTGATAGTCAGTCTATTGACAAATATGTAACAGACCTGGGGTACAAAGGGTCTGCCCTCAGAGTTTCAGTCTAGGAAAGATGGATGAATAGATGATTCATAGATGATAGGTAGGTAGACAGACACACATACTCATACACACATACATATACAAGCATACAGAAGGTGATTTCATATAGTGATGAAAACTTCAAAAAATTAAATAGGGTACTGGAAAGTGACTTGGGGACATGAAGGCTGCTGCAGCTAACGTAGTCAAGAAAGGCCTTCCTAAAAGGGGACATTTGATTGGAGACCTTGAGGATGAAGAGTAGCCAAATAGAGATCTGGGAGAAGAAAGTGCTGAACAGAAGGAATAAGTACAAGCATTCTGAATATCTAATAAACTTTGTTATGCTTAAGAGCTGGCCAGTATGGCTACAGGGTAGAGAATAAGGGAGAATATGATGGGATGTGAAATGAGGCCACCATAAGGAGTTTGGATTTTTCGCTATTTGTAAGGAAGTCATTAGAAAGCTTAGGTATACTATTGAAATAATTTTCTTTGGTTTCTGTTGTTCATTTGTCTCATAAGTTTCTCAATTGAGGTATAATTTATAACTAAGTTAACACAACTCATAACGGTACAGCTTGAGGAGTTTTTACCTATGCTTAAAACCTGGTAATCACCAGCCAAATCTTTAAAGATCCAGGTTTTGAAGATCATTCCTTGTGCTGCTCAGAGAAGGGGTTGAGGGTAAGTGGGCAATGACGATGGCAAGGATACCAGTTAGAGGGCTGCTGCAATCTGCAAGATATGTCGGGCATTAGAATAGGGCAGCAGCAGTGGAGGTGGTGAGTGGTTGGCTAGGTTGCGTTTAGAAACAGAGGTGATAGGACTTGGTGCAGAGGATGTGGGATGTGAAAGAGAAAAATGGAGGAGTCCTCCCAAGTGAGCAGCCTGAGGAACTCAGTATGTTGTCACTGTTTACAGAGATGAGGGAAGACTTCAGAGGTGTGTGGCACACTGGGATTGAATAATTTTATAGCAAAACTCTTGTGTGTGTCTTAAAATTTTACAGCCACCCAAAGAATCAAAATTATTGCTTATATCTGCCTCTGGAATACTGCAGCAGAATAATCGCCTAAGCTTAGCTCAACTGGACTTTCATAGCATGCAAGTATTTAAGTAGATATTGGTAGACAAAGCAAGCTACTAATACCAGCCAACAGACCAAGCACTTCCCAACTGGGCTGAAAAAACAGACAGAAACCAGCCCTAACCCTGCTCTCCTTTCTGCCTTATAGATTCTGATGTCAGAGCCAGGGAAGTTGCTGCAGAAAGTGAAGGTGTGGCTGCAGGAGTACTGGAATGTCACGGACCTCATTGCCATCCTTCTGTTCTCTGTCGGAATGATCCTTCGTCTCCAAGACCAGCCCTTCAGGAGTGATGGGAGGGTCATCTACTGTGTGAACATCATTTACTGGTACATCCGTCTCCTGGACATCTTTGGCGTGAACAAGTATTTGGGCCCATATGTAATGATGATTGGAAAAATGGTAAGTAGGATCTTTTGATTCCATGTTGTAAGTTTTCAGAGGAAGAGTGGTGATAATAGATAGAGGGAAATAATACATTTGGGCCTGCTATCAAAGTCTAAATGAGATGGCCCTGGAAGTGTTTTATTTTATAAATTCCTTTTGAATGTTTGAGGGTTCAACCACATGTAGAGACAAAACTGGAGAGTGTATCAGTCACTCATTCATTTACTGAAAAATTTATAAAGATTATCTATTTTGTGCTGGGTACTGGACTAGGAGTTGGGTGTATAAAAACGTTCTTTCCATGAGATTAAAATTGATGGGAGGCAGGAAGGGGTAATTACCATATTGTGTGAAAAATGCCGTAATAGTGATGTGTATAAAGTACAACCAAACAATAGAAAAGATAATATAGATCAGAAAAAGCACATGGAGGTTACATTTTAGCTGGATGTTTGAGGAGGAATGGGTCTCCAGTACAAATTTTTAACCGATTTTTTTTAAAGGTCCTGTGTTTTTAAATAAAGTTCTAGAAAAATGCCTTACCCTACACAAAGGGAAGAAAAACATAATTTATTTGAGCTGAACTGAGTTGGGTTGGGTTGAAGATTAAGTGCTGTCACGCATCATGTGTTTGCTACACTACTGGAGAGTGATGTCTGTTGAGAACTAAGTTCCAGAATTATGCTCCTACTTGTCAAATTCTTGAAGAAAGAATCACAAGTAGCAAGCTAATACCACTTCCCTACAAATGGCTGAGGACTTGTTCCAGTAGTCCTTGACCACACGCCAGCTTCCAGACTTTGTCAATAGAGACTGAACTCTAGGAGGACAGCATCGGTGTGAATCTAGGAGCGCATCCGTAAATGAGCTTCCTCCCAAAACTCACTTGAGGAAGAATCAGAGCCTGAAGCCAGAAAGTGGTACTTTCAATCAGTTCTCTTAATTTTTTATGTGTATCCCCTGCTTTACTTTCACATAATAGATGTGGAAAAGTTAAGTACATCCATCCTACCATGACCAACGCCTCTTACCGAAGAGCCTCTTTGCTGGTCAGACACAGTGACTCATGCCTATAATCCCAGCACTTTGGGAGGCCAGGCAGGCAGATCACTTGAGCCCAGGAGTTTGAGACCACCTTGGGCAACACAGTGAGAACCTAATGCTACAAGAAGTAATGAAAGATTATCAGGGTGTGGTGACATGAGCCTATGATCCCCGCTACCTGGGAGCCGAGGTGGGAGGATCACCTGAGCCCAGGGTTCAAGACAGCAGTAAGGTATTTTTTTCTCAAAAAAAGAAAAAGACAATCCTCTTGGCTAATATCTTTCACTTCACTTCCATTGTATCAGCCATTGAAACCAATAATTGGTCAATAGATGTTCTTTACTTTATTCTTTGAGACAGTGTTTCACTCCATCACCCAGGGTAGAGTGCAGTGGTGCAACCTCCACCTCCCGAATTCTAGCAACTCTCCTGCCTCAGCTTCCCAAGCAGCTGGGACTACAGGCGCCTGCCACCACAGGAGGCTAATTTTTTGTTTTTATTCGAGACAGAGTTTCACTAGGTTGGCCAGGCTGGTCTCAAACTCCTGACCTCAAGTGATTCACCCACTCTGACCTCTCAAATTGCTGGGATTACAGGTGTCAGCCACCATGCTTGGCTGATGTTCTTTATTATTATCACTCAATATTTACTATATATCATTGCTAATTCAATATTTATAAAACAGCTCTGTCCATGTATGTGTGTATCTCTACTGAAATGAATCTTAAATAACAATAACGTTTCCTACAAAAGTACTGACAAACTCATGCAAAGAGAGAACAAATTTGAATTCAAAATAAATTGGGTATGGCACATTGAGCAATTTATTTAAACCCCTTTGAGACTGAGTTTACTCATTTCTAAAGTAGTGATGTATAATAAATGCACATCTTATAGGGTTATTGTTGTAATGATTGGAAATAATACGTACTAAATGACCAGCTATGTCTGTCTCACAGCTGATAGCTGACAAGTTATATATGTTATTTTGTTCAAATGACAGTGAAAAAAGGAAAAATTGGTGAGCATGATTATCATGCTGTATTCTTAACCCTTCTGTACAAATGGTATTTATAACACCAGCAATGCTTAGGGCAAATATCACCAAACTCATTCTAGAGAGAGAAAAATAAACTTGAATTCATGAGCTTGAGTTACTTACCCAAAAAGGAACCCCAGTTCAATTGGGGATTTTTTTGACTAGGAAAAAAAATGTGTATCTTACTCTATTTTATATCATCTTCTTTGCACTTTAACAATGAATTTGAGATTGTGGTGAAAATTCCTGTCTAAAAGCAGAGAGTCTAGATTTAGAGTCTATGGATAGGGCTTAGGAGGTAGAATCTGTGGACCCTCTCTGCAATTTATATATAAAAATGTGTGGGTGTGTGAATTTTCTGGACAGAGGGGACAAGCTTTCCTGAGATTCTCAAATGTATTTTCAGGTGGACCCAGTGAAAACAAAGAACTATAATAGCAATAAAATTAGGCCACATTTTCTCAACCTTGACACTGCTGATGTTGTGGGCTACATAATTCCTTATTTTAGGAAGCTGTCCTGTGTACCATAGGGTATTTAGCTGTATCTCTGGCCTCTACCTGGGGGATGCCAGTAGCATGCACACGTGCACACACACATGCAGTTATGACTACAGAAAGTCTCCAAACATCTCCACGTCTTCCAGGGAATGAAATTGGCCTCCGTTGAGAATTACTGCATTCTGTGATTACATAATCAGATTGGTTGTTTTTCTGATTGTTACCTTATTTTATTTTAACATATAAAATCTGAGAAGACCCAAACTAACCAATTATGTTACCCTTTAAAGGCTGGGTAGCATTTATATACTTGAAATAACTAAAGTCACGCTAATGCAGCAAGATTATTTTAAAATCCGCGTCTATCATCTTAAAAATGGCATAATTATCCCAGTTTTGACTAGAATGAAACCTTACTCAGGAATATGCAAGAGGAATGTACTGCATTTTCTCTACCTTTTAACTTATGAATGACTTCATTTATCAGTCAAGAATAAGTAGGAAATGAGTATATTAGGCGACTTTGCTTCTCTTTCAAGGGGCTTTTAAGATAATCAGTTCAATAACTGAGGCACTGATCCAGAAGGTAGATAACATATGCCTATAGAATTTTTCAGTGAGCCAGGTGGACTACCGGGCTGGAATTTAACAAAATGTGCCCAGATGTGTTATACTGAAAGCCTCTCAGCATTAGGGAGTCCCCATTCAGCACAAAGCAGCCAATTAAGTCCCTGCCCTGTGGTCTAGGGAGAGACAGCTGATGAGATTCCCGGACACACAATCATTAGGAGTCCATTTTGAAATTGGGTCTTTGCATAATATAATAAACCAGTGCACCAAACACCTCACAGCATGGAAAGCCCACATACCCAGAAAGACTCCGATTAATCTGTGGCAGGCCCAGGATCACTCAACAAAATCCTGACCCCTTTCCTTCATATTCCACCTTTAAATGGAATTCTCTAAGCCTAGCACTAAGCTCACTTATATAACACAGAACAAAAACAAGAATAATAGCTATCATTTGCCGTGTGTGAGATACCATGTCACACTTGTCATCACCATACCCCCACCCCCACAGGAAATAGGTTTTTGTATCTGTGTTTAATAATTGAACAAACAATTGAGAGACTAAGCAAGGGACAATGACAGGATTCAAATTTCTATCTGACTCCACAGCCTGATTGCTTTCCAACTGCAATAATAGTAACACATTAACATTTATGGAGAACTTACCACATTGTTTCAAATGCTATCTCATTTAATCTTTACAAAATGTGTTATTTTTATTCCTATTTTTACAAATAAAACAAGATTAAGCAGCTTGCCCAAGGCCACCTAGCTCTATTTCTTTTTCTTTTCCATGTTTAGTAAACACTTTATTTTCATAAGTATTTTTACTCCTTTTTTGTGGATATTTTTCCACGTAGCTATTTGTACTACAAAAGTCAAGATGAAAACCCAGGTATTCTGACACCAAAGTACGTGTGTTTAACCACTATAGTGTGTGTGTGTGTGTGTGTGTGTGTATATATGTGTGTATATATATATATACACACACATATATATATTCACATATATATACACACATATATATACGTATATATATACACATATATGTGTGTGTGTGTATATATATATACGTATATATATGTGTGTATATATATATACATATATATACCATATTATATATATACCATATTATATATATATATACACTCTTCTCTGTAGAACACAACAGAAAGATATTTACAAGATTAGGACAGGATCAGCTCCCTTAATATTGAACCAACTGGACAATTTGGCTTTAAAAGAGGAGGCCAGCCCCAGTTCTCCCTAATAATGTTCTATTTCTGCACTCCATTCTATCAGATTTTGGTATTTGTATGAAAGTTAAGACTTCTTTGAAATATATGAAGCTAAGTGTTTGGAAAGAATTTTTCCTTCCCTTTGATTGTTTTGACCCTTTGCATAGATAACACAATCAATCTGAACAAAAACAACCCTGAGAAATTAAATTAGAACAGTTTCTGTATTTACTGGCTGAGTTTTCTTGGGTCAAACTAGCTTCTAAATCTCATGAGCACAAATCTTCCTCTCCCAACCCATCTTTTAATCAACATAAATAAACATAACATGAAGGACCCATGTGTGCTTTTTCATTGATAGAACTTTTTGTAAATAAATGATGAAAGAATTTTACAAAATAAGAGAAAGAGAGGATGAAAAACAGACCCATGTTTCCTATAAAACTGTTTCGACACAGCTGGCTTCCTCACTTTAAAAGAGTTCTGAGACCATTAAACTATAGCAGAAATAACTAACTAGCGTACAACTTTAAAGACAATTTAAAAATATGAATGAATGGCAGATTTTAAGATATTCCTGTTTGGTTTTGAAGTCATACAATACTTGTGAGATGAAGTTTGAAGTTGCCTTGAAACTTGATTAGACCCCAGTATCCTAAGGCGTACAAGGAAACCTGTAATGTTTGAATTCCAGCAACAGACACCATAGAATGCACTCTTTTAAAATAAAATTGTGGCCAAGAGCAGTGACTCACGCCTGTAATCCCAGCACTTTGGTAGGCCAAGATGGGCAGATCACAAGGTCAGGAGTTCCATACCAGCCTGGCCAAGATGGAGAAACCTCTTCTCTGCTAAAAATACAAAAAAAATAGCTGGGCGTGGTCATGGACGCCTGTAATCCCAGCTACTCAGGAGACTGAGGCAGAGAATCGTGTGAACCCAGGAGGCAGAGATTGCAGTGAACCAAGATCACGCCACTGCACTCCAGCCTAGGTGACAGAGCAAGACTCTCAAAAATAATAGTAATAAAAGATAAAATTGTAAAACTAATTTTAAGCCTTCATTATCATTGATAAAAGTAGCATTAGGCATTCTTCGTGGATGGGCATCCCTTCAGGAAGCATATCTAAGAGAAAGTCTTTTGTATTTGATGTTTTAATGCAAGCGATAGAAACCAATCTTCAACTACCTTAAGCATAGAAGGGATATGCTGACTTATAGAAGGACATAATGAAACTGGCCTTAGGGGCTACTGCAAGCAGAGATCCAACCACTGTCAGGATTTGCTCTCTTTCTCCTGCAAAGCAGCTTCATTCACTCTGATCAGTTTCACTGGTGGGGGCCTCAGTTTCAGACACTCTGAATTCACCCTATTACAGAGACACAAGGAATTTCTTTCTCCCAGCTTCAGTTAAAAACAAAAAAAGGATTCTGGTTGGTCTGTCTTGGTCATATGCCTGCCTTCTATCACTCTTGCTGGGGCTAGTATCATATTTAACCTAGCCAGACAAACACACCTACCTTGTGGCCTATAAAAGGAGGAAGTAATGGGTTCTGGCTAGGAAAAATTAATAGTTATTGCATCCTCATCTATTTAATATTTTGGGTGATAAAAGGAAAGTCATTTGGTATATAAGAAACAGATCCCAAATAACATACATCATGGAAAGAAACAAGGAAGACAGAGGAACAAGAGATAACATTATATTAGAGAGAAGCCTGGAGGATTTTATAAACATGTCAGTTATGGGTATGAGTCATTAGGGTGCACGATTCTAATGCCTAAGAAAACACTGTCCATAGCCAATGGGATGCCCTGCAGGAGAAGTCTATGAACAGCAGTTCTCTCTGAGAGACTGGTTGGTGGTAGAATACCATGCAGTGGGGTGGGGCCACAAGATAAGACAGAATATAACAGATATTTGATTTACCCTGGCTTTGTTTATAAGCATTATTTTAGCTTTCTAATTATCCATTAGCCTTTCAGAACTTAGGAAGGAAATTTACAGCATCACAGTCATTCTTGGAATAGTTTCAACTATCCCCATTCCAATTTCTCTAAGAAGAAAGAGACTCAAAGAGGACACTTGCCTCCCCCAGGAGCAGAGAAAAAGTTAGTACTGGATTCACATAGAGGCTTAAGCTTCCATTTATGATTCATATGCCTAGCCTTGACTCGGTCCCACAGACAGCAATGAAAAATGAAGAGGCATCATTTGTGTGTGTACTTTTTGAAACGTTTTTTGAGTTACTGATAGAATTCTGTGGACACTGGCCTCAATAGAACAAGCATCTTCTTATCTGGACACAACGCCCTATCTAAACATCCCTTATCAGCGGTCTAGAAAGCGGACCTCCTCCAAAGGTTCCCATCATTGTCAGCATTTATAAGAACACTCAATCATATAGGTTTTCTATTGTTTCTCCCTCTGCTTCCTCGCCCTTCCAGATGATAGACATGATGTACTTTGTCATCATTATGCTGGTGGTGCTGATGAGCTTTGGGGTCGCCAGGCAAGCCATTCTTTTTCCCAATGAGGAACCATCATGGAAACTGGCCAAGAACATCTTCTACATGCCCTATTGGATGATTTATGGGGAAGTGTTTGCGGACCAGATAGACCGTAAGCAAGTTTATGATTCTCATACACCAAAGTCAGGTATTTAAATTCAATTCGGGTATGTCTTTTCCAAGTTCATTTGTTTGTTCTCAATAAATGGCTCAAGATAGAGGACCAATTCCTAGCCATCGGGAGGAAAAACAAAATTACAGAAGGTGAATATACAATTTTAGAAAGTAGTTCTTGGGTGTTTCTTTAGTTAAGTCATGTTCCGTGACACGAATCGACATCTGGTATAACCAAATTTGATCAAAAAATGAACTACTTAAAAAGATCTAAATTACTTTATGATTCAAAATCCCAGGGCCATGTGTTGAATATTTTCATATCAGTAATATTTTATGTCACTAACTCCCCACCTCTACCCTAGCCATCAGCCCCAGCCTTTAGAAAGTAAATTTCTTCAGTTGCACTTCAGAACAAACAAACAATGCTCAGTTTCACCATCAGAATTCAAGAGTAAGGGCAAACATCTGCATGGTATTTTTCTTGCAGTGGAAACTATTCTCCAACCCTCTTTCCCACTGTCTTAAATTATGTGCTATTGAGACTCATAGGAAGCTAGTACTATTGCCTGGAAGTATGGAAAATGCCTTAGGTCATAAACTGAGTTGCTTGCTATTAGCCAAAAAAAAAAGTTATCTATATTATGAAGCGATTCAGTGTGGGGAGTGAATGCCAGCAGGCCCACAAGGTTTCATGCCCTAATAGATGCTGATTCTCTGTAATAAACACTCCTTTTGTATGGAGTTTGAAGATAGTTGTATCCTAGGAGTCTGTTCCAGGATTTTATTTGGACCAAATGTCAGGACACATCAGGCATTGGGAAATTTTTTGGGAAGAAAGCATCATTAAAGAAACATCTTTCAGTGTGGCGGAGTTGAATCCCAGGAGCAACAATTTCTCATTTCCCCTGAGGAGTTTAGTTCTGGAAATAACATCCCTCCAACATTGTTGCATTAACATTTTTCAGACATTTTTTGCTGACAGGCCAGCCATCTGAGCCCGGACTGTGGACACGGATTAGGGTTATATAACCAGGTAGTAGAGCTTGTTAAAAGCAGGAGCAGAGACTAGTTAGGACCCCCTTCCCACTGCACATCCCAGGTAGGACTGAGACCAGGAAAATAGGAACAAGGCACCAAAGAGTGTGAGTCCTCCAGACCCGTGAAGAGGATGTGTACCCTGGCAACAGAACACACCGGTATGTCATTTATTCTTCCACGATGGATTCTGAACAAATACACTTCCCTTCTCAAATGTGTTATCTGAGGCAAGCAAGACTTTTTGGAACACCTAATTGGAACAAATACTTGTTTCATGAGACTTAGCCAGCTCACTGAGGAAGAATTTTACTCCAACTCCTGGTTGTAATATCTTTGGCTGACAATGTGCAGCCTTCACCAAGACAGCTTGCCAGGGACTGGGGAAAATCCTTTTGAGAGCCTGCTTTCAAACAGTCCCTAAACGCAAAACAACACTTTTAAAAAACCCACCTATGACCATTCTACTCAGAGATTAAATGTGCTATTTCCCCCAAGAAATTGTTTTTCCACTTATGTTATTTTGCCTTTTTTAGTTTTCCTTTCTGCTTCAAAATGAGATTAAGCCCCCAGGGGGGTTTTGACAATGCCACATTTGGGGATGGGAGAAGGAGGGAGGTGTAGGTGTGCTTTATAAATGGGATTCTGTCTGTCCCTCTACAAGTGGCCATTTATTGATGTTGTACTATGAACCCAGCCTAGTGCAACAAACACCACCATCTGCTGAATAAGAGGATTTATTACTGTTATTTTAAAAGAAGGGCTGATTGTAGTTTAGAACTCGAAAACCCCCTGGAGACAGAGAAGATGTGTTTTGTATGAGTGAAATATGAAAATAGATTTCCCACACTGTTAATTAGATCTGTGGAACTCTATGTGTGTGAGAATAAATTTCAACTCTAAATCCCAATGTATAACTGACCCAGCCTTGGATAGATGCAGCCTTCATGATGCCCTTCCCCTACCACTTTCCTTCCTTTTTGATGTTCTGAAATTGCTACAGTGGTAGCCATTGTTCTAAGCTAAATCAGCCAGTTTTCTGTGTAATGCTAGCGAGTATTTGTCCTTTCTCAAATGGATATAGAAGGCTACCCCCAAAGCTGTTATGACATTTGGCTAAGGTCACTCAACATGCCTGTCCTCCAAATGATTTGATATTCATGTTATGGCACCGGATGGGCCCAATGAGGATTGGATGACTGCCCTACCTGATCATTCAGAACTGCCCCGGAGACCCAAGTACTGAGCTGTTTGAGAAAGGTACAAATTGTTTATGCTGCCCACGGTGTCTTGCCTCTTTTCTGTGTCATGCCCAGGTTGGTTTGTGAAGCATGTTTTCAGGCTGATCAGATCTCATATCCGCCTGGACCCACAGCCCTGCCCAGGGTCTGCCAGTCCCATCCTGTGGATGTACTCCATGCAGGCCTTCTGAAGTGCTGCTCATCCAAACACACCTTCGCAGAGTGACTCATTTCTAACGGAATGCGCGTGCTCCATAGCTAACCCTTTTTGTTTTTTCACTTCAGAATTGCTGAGCCCATTTCATGTTTGGGAAAACATTCTTTCTTAATTGGGTTAGACCTATATGGATGTACAATGGGGCCCTTGGGGTAGATTTTGAACGTCAATCATACACCTCAGAAGAGAGGGCAGCTTTGATGCCCTCACTTCTGGAAGGCAGTACCTTACTACAGATTTTTGATATGCCTTCCACTTTTTTTTCTGTTATTTGTTCTAAACACAGAAAACAAAGATCGATAAGATCAATAAAGCCTAAGATACTAGAATGAAACTTGTAAGGTTACTTTCCAAATGTGCTTAAAACTAAACAAAAAGGAAAAAGATGGAGTCGCTGTAAAGTCACAAAATAATTTAGGAGCTTTTCACCTCTAAGCCATGTGGGACTAAACACAAATGATAGTTCCACCTTAACCTAAGTTCTCTGTGGAGGCTGAAATGTTTGCTTTGGGGTTGGAAGCAGGGAAGAGTCAGAGAATATGACTGGAAGCAGAAGATAAGGAACCCGTGGAAGGGACAGTGACTGTCTGCCCTACTCAGAAACTTTGCCTACCGCCCTGATTTAATTCATGGGAATGGAAGTTGGTATTGTTGTGTGGTTGGTTCCTTTCTGGCTTGTTTAGTTTCTTTCAAATAGTCCAAAATTGTCCTCATGTGTTTGCTATGTAGAATCCTAGCTCTCCAAGATCCAACCTAAGGGCTGCCATGAAGCAACTTGGGCTCTGGGTTGTTAAATGCATGGCTACCAAATGTGACACCCTTTCAGGCTGTCTCATTAGTGTGACCCATGTGGCATGGCCTCTCAGAGCTGGTCAGGATCCCACTGGAACTTGAGGGGAAAAGCCACTTAGAGGAGAGGAGCAGCAGAATACATTTCCAGCCCAGCAGCATTTCATGCCAAAGCTGGAGCGAAGCTAAAATTAGATGGACTCTCGCCAGCTTAGAAATCTGGTTCTGCATTCTGGTGTGTGAGGTGCCTAGAAGTACACCTTTCTTGGCAGGGAAAATGGGGGATCTCTGGCTTTCTCCGGCCCCTGAATGGATGCGACTTTCATTTATTTACAGGGCATCCATGTGTTGCTGGCTGTATGTTCAGATTCCCCAGGCTGTAACAGGGCAGGAGGAAAATGAATCATGCTCTTGAATGCATTAAGTCAGGGTCTAAATTTAGTCCTCCTTTCTGCTTCTCTGAGTAATTTTACAAGTTTAGATAGTAATGTGAAAGCAGAATGTCCAAAACTTACTTTCCACCATGACAACTTAATATTATCTAGCCCTTTCCATTCACTCCAAATTATCCAATCTACTTAAAGCCTGGGTTATTTTTTTTTCCTACTGCCTAGGGCTTTTTCATCTGAAATTAATAGGTGGTTTGGGGTAGGAAGGTTTCTGTTTTCTTTTTGCTTTATTTATGTATGTATATATTTAGTACAAAGGTTTGCTATTTAAAAAAAACCTTGCTCTTTTGTATCCATGTTGTCTCTGTGATGTTGACTGAATTTACAGTGTTGTTTTTGTCATGTGTGTGCATGTAAAGCTAAAATACACTGAATCATTTTTCTGCCTGAAATTAATTGTTCCTCACTTCCCTTGTGGAAATCAGGACAGCTCAAGGAGTCAGTCTCTAAAATACCCCTGCTTATGGTGAAGCTTATAGCAGTATGAACCAAGAAGATGGCTATTGTTATGCATTGCAATCATGAAACTCCAGTTCTCAAGGCTCAGGGCTGTGCATCTGTTTAGTATTCTGGACTGACCTTCTCTAATGGATTCAGAGCACACTAATGCCTAACAACTATAGTGTGGGGAGTGTTGCTTGACCAAAGAAAGTATTTTGGAAAAGAAAAACTTGAGCCAGTGCCAACTTTTGGGAAAGGGAGAATTGTTTTGTTGGGGTTTGTTTTCACAAATTGCTAAGGAAGCAAGCCAACATGAGGCGCCATCCTCATTTCCTGTTCCTGAAAGTCAGCTCACGTTATAGAGAATACCCACCTGACTTGTTTACCAATGCAAACTGAGGCTTAATGGATTTACAAATAACAGAGCTATCTGCAGACAGAGCTTTGTGATGATTCTGGGCACTGTTTTGATCAACACTTGTTCTATTGTCATAACATTTAATTAGCATTTTCTCACAGGTTAGACTCCACTTTGAATTCTTTCCTCAGTCAATGAATATTTAGTTTGTTTCTCCTATGAACTAGAAACCAGAGCACAGAGATGCATGTGACAGAGGCATTGTCTTCAAGGAGCTTACCATCAAGGAAAGGCAAACTGACATTGACAACACATGTGTAGAGGTGGAGCCAAAGAAGGTAGTTGGTTCTATCTCAGGTGGGAGATGAGGCCTTGCAGAGACAGGGAGGGTTGAGCTGAGCCCTGAAATATAAGCTGATGATTCAGGCAGATAAGAGCAGGAGGTGTAAGGAGAGAAGAATGGCCTTCCAAACTGCGAATTAGTATGAAAAGTTCCAGGAG